TGGAAGTGCCATTAGGGGGTTTACCTGCGCCGGGCTGCCATCAGCTCCAGTGCCTTTGTGTGACAAGGGACCTTGGCGACCGTTTGGGCTCATGGTTCACCCAGCGGGGCCTGACAGGCCCCTTGGCTCCTGCTTGGATGCTCTGGGGACAGGGCACCCACTGCTTTGTGCATCTTCTCAGCGCACAGCCCCAGTTTTACAGGGCCCTTCCCTGCGCCTTCTGCCCTGCCGGGGTGGGCGAGGGGCCTTTTATAAGGAAACGCAGTAAAATCAGAAGAGCAAGAAATCAGCTCCTGAAATTTCCCAACCTAAATCAGATGTATACTTGTTACAAGGCGATGCAGACACACCACAGGATTTTTTCCATAAAGACTGAAAAGAACTTTCTAGAGCACAGCCACCTAGCAGAACTTCCGGCACCGCCCACTGTGGCAGCCACGGGCCATGCGGGGCCACAGAGCACGTGACCTGTGGCTGGTGCGATGCAGAGACTGAGCCTCTCATTTTAATTACTTTAAATTTAAATAGCCACACATGACTTGTGGCTACCTACTGGCTGGCGCAGTACTAGGATTTTCTAGAACTTGGAGAGCACCTATCTGCAACCATCCCTTGTCAGGCAGCGGAGAAGGAGATGGGGCTGTAACTGACCCCGTGTCCGGCTGGGGCGTCCTAGACACGCCTGCTTCCACCCGGCCTCCATGGCTCCCTCCGGCACACGGGAAGGCAGCGACGATAGCAAGAGCTGCCCGGTCAGGCCCTTGTGAGTTTGACATGAGACCAAACATGTAACCCACTTGAGCCCAGGGCTGGCCACACGCCCGGGGCTCGCCCACCCCCAGCTTTGTGCACAGGCTTTCACCCCATCTGACCCTGAGGAGGAGGGGGGCAGGGCACCTGGAAGGCTTGCGACTGTTTGCTCTGAGCGTGAGGACTTCCTGAGCACCTGCTGTGTGCCCAGCCCTGGGTGGGGCTCTGGGGCACGGCTCCTCCCTCAGGGGGTGCTTCAGCATCAGGGGTCCTGGGCCACCTGCACCCAGAGGGGTCTCTGCCCCATCCTGGCCTCCTCCCTGCCAGACCTGGGGGGCCCTGGGACCTGGGGGTGCAGCGCGTGTCCACCTGGGGGCGTTAGCTGTGCTGAGAAGGTGGTGCTTTGTGTCTGACTAGGGTGTTCCACGGGGCTCAGAGAAATGGGGGCTGAGGTCGGGGGACAGTAAGGGTGCAGGGAGAGGGGATGGAAGTCGCCCTCAGCGAGGGAGCGGGAGGTGCAGAGACGAGGGGAAGGCCCCGGGGGAGTGGAGGCGGGGGTGCGGTCAGGTTGGGCCCCGCCTGGGGCCTGCAGTGCACCTGGGGCTGCAGGGCCGGTCATGTGGTGTTAGAGCGCGGGGCCACCTGAGCAGGTGGGGCCACAGCCCCAGTCACAGAGGAATCAGATGGGGTGCGGGACGCATTAAATGCAGCTACTGGCCTCCTGCCAAGGAGGCCCGACTCGGTGGCTCTGGGCAGCCTGGCGGGGGGACGCAGGACATGCGGTATGTGCGATGGAGGTGGGTCTGGGAGGCGGAGAGGCCCCGGGTGCCCATCAGAGGAGAGGTGTTTACGGAGAGCCTGCTGCGGGGCTTTGCCTCCATCGTTGTTACCCCCATTCTACAGATGAGGAAGCTGAGGCTCAGGAAGGGTCGGAAGCACATTTAACGTCTCCAAACAGGAAGAGTAGGGTCATGACTTCGTCTCAGGGACCCCCAGGCCCAGAGACAGAAAGAGAGGGAGACGAACATGTATAAACACGCAGAGACACACTCACAAGGACTTAAACCAAGGTCTGCCCAGTCAGAGCCTGAGCTGTGCCCAAGCCCCTGCCCCACCCCCCAGAGCTGCTGGGAGGCAATAAAATATAGCTTCCCAGGCCTCACAGCCCTGGTGCGGGACTCCAGAGTCTGGGCCAGCCCTCGGACCCTGCACGGGACTGGCTCCTGGGGAGGGCTGGCTCCCACGGGCCTGGCCGAGAGCCCCAGGCTCGGGGTCAGGCGTCGCCTGGGAGGACGTCCGCATCTCCGCCAGGGGTGCTGTGGGAACACCCCGGGACTGGAGCAGACAGACCCGGTTTGAGTCCTGCTCGCAAGTTTGCTTTTACCGGTCTGGCCTCAGCTTTTCCAGCTGTAAAGTGGGGCTGCATACTCCCTGTGCCTCCCCTGAGGCTGTCACAAGAGCTCAAGGCGACAGGACAGCTCTGTGAGCACTGGAGTGCTAACCATGACGGCCCTTGTCAGTCCATGCTTGTGTTGGTGGCCTGGGGTCACGCAAGCAGACATTTAAGTAGCACCACTGTGGGCGGGACATGGTAGGCCGGCCCTCGGTGAAGCAAGAGGCAGGGCAAGGCCAGGGAGGTGCCAGACAGGGCTCAGTGGCGCCGGGGAGCAGTCAGGATGCAGGGGCTGCCCCGAGCTTGGGGTCTGGGTGGCAAAGGCCACCCAGAGGAGGTCCCTGGGCTGGGAGGTGCCCACATGGGAGCCAGGAGCTCCAGCGCTGTTCCTTTGCTGAACTATGAAAGTGGGAACACACCGCTTCCCTTCTCCGGGCCTCAGTTTCCCCATGGGTACAATGAAGGGCGAGGTCAGGCTGCGTTGGGTCGGCTGCTCCTCACGTGCGTGTTGGGAGGGGGAGGGGGTGAAGCAGCGGGGAGCCGGTGAAGCCACAAATAGCGAGAAAAAAGTCAGGACAGCACCAAGTATTCAGCCCCTGCCGCGAGTCAGCCGCGCGCCACGCTGTCACTTCCGTGACCCTCGCTCTGTGGGAAATGGGCTCAGCATCCCGGGATGGCTCAGGGCCTCAGCTTCTCTGTCTGTAAAATGGGGTTAGTGTGTGGCCCAGGATCTGGCATATAACGGGAGCTCAGTAAAAGCCACCAGTGGCGGCGGCAGCAGGGACAGGAGTATGGGACCCCAGAGCCCAAACCTCCCAAGTTCTTCCAATCCCCTGAGGGCTTGACTAAGGTTATCGTTAACATTAATGCTGATACAAATATCTACACCTAAGTCAGACACTGTTCCAAGTGCTTGCCCTGCAATAACACCTTTAATCCTCATGACGCTCTATGAGATAGGAACTACCTTTGTTCCCATTTCGCAGATGAGAAACTGAGGCTCAGAGAGGCTAAGTCAGCGGCCCAAGGGCACACAGGGAAGTGGAGACCAGGATTAGAGCCCAGAGCCCACGCTCTTAACCACCATGGCACAGCCTGTACGATTCCCGGCTGCCAGACGTTCTGTTCCACCTGGTTTGTTCACAAGTCACCCCACCACCATTTGGGGCTCTGGTGGGGGCCTCACCTCCACTCCCACGAGTGGCCCCAGCACCGGGCCGAGGGGTGGGGGCAGCAGGTGCGACAGCAGGTTGCTGAGCAGGAGCGGGGCTCGAACTGCCAGGTGCTGGGAGGCTGGCTGGCCTTGGAGTGGGAGGGGTGGGGGGCCAGACAGGCGTTCCCGACAGCGGGTGGCACATGGGGCTCTCCTCATCCGTCCACGGTCTCCACGGGCCCGAGGGGACAGATGGCATCGCCCGGGTCTGGGCCATGGCTGTCACTTGGCCACATGAGTTACAAGCCGGCGGAAGGGACGGCAGCCGGGGCGGGGCGGGGGGTGCTGCAGAAACAATTGCATTGAGACCCCAGGACAATGGGGGCCACGTGCCATGGGGGCAACAGTCGTTTGTCACACAATGGGCCGCAGCCTGGACCAACTGCTGCTGTGGACACGGGCCGGCTGAGTTTTCAAATCGCTTCCAGGCCCTGTTTTCCCGCAAGGCAGCCAATCGCCTGGGCAGCGGGGTGGTCACCTGACGCCAGCTTGGTGGGCTGAGGGCCCCGCCGCGACAAGTGAGCAGCAGTGGCCATGGCAACGCTAATTGTGGCCCTAAAACACAAGGAAAGAGAGAGCAGGAGAGATGGGGAGAAGAGGGGGAAGAAAGAAAGGGAGAGAGAGGAGGGAGAACCCCGGGTTGAGGGGCCCCAATGGCGGGAGGGGAGAGGTGAATGCCCTTCTGGGGCCCCCGAGCGCAAGCGCAAAGCCAGAGGCTGTGTTTCTTCTCTTTCCCTCTCCCCCTCTCAGCTCTCCAAGGCCCCAAGGCACCTGTTTTTAAAAGTTGGAGCTTAGAATTTGGACCACGGGCCTCAGGGCAGCAAACCCAACAGCCCCGGGTGGAGGGGGCGGTGGCAGGCGAGGTGGGGTGCAGTGTGGGCACTGGGCCGGTTGGCAGCCCCCTTATAACCTGGACGAGATGCTGTTGGGGGCCCAGTGCTCTCGCAGATCGGGGCACCTGCCTGGCACCCTCCGTGGGCAGCCTTTTTCCTTCCATGGAAAGTGATGTTTGCTCGTGAATCTGTTCAGCGTGGGGGGCACGACCCTGCATGGAGCCTCCAGGGGCCGCCTGGGCTTGCAGTGAAGAGCCTGGGCTTCAGGCCACGTGGCCTGGGTTCCAGCCCCGCCACCTCCTGTTCCGTGCGGCGGCCGTGGGCCAGGGGCTCGGTGCTCTGAGCGCAGTTTCCCTGTCTGTGAAGGGGGCATATGGGTGTCCCCTCCCTCTCAGGGTGGCTCGGGGGATCGAATGGGACTGTGCTTTCTGGGCACTGCGCCCAGTGCCTCAGTTTCCCCATCTGTGAAGCGGGAGTAATACTAATACTTACCTTATGGGTCAACTGGGAATGTTAAATGGGTTAATACCTCTTATATGGTGCTTGGCACATAGTAAGTGTTCAACAAACATCAGTGTTTGTTATTTTGGGGTAGGGGCTAAGGAACATATGTTTAAAGAGTGAATGAAGGGATGATTTGAGGAAGAGTGGTCTGGCTGTTAAAGAGGGGACCCTGGGGCCGGGAGGGGCGGATCGGAGAGTCAGGGTGGCTGGGGAGGGGAGGGGCTAAGGGGGCGACTCCAGAGGTAGGGGAGACCCCTGGAGCCAGCCTGAGCTCCCCACCCCTCCCGAGCCCCTGCCCCTCCCGCAGGCTCCTGGCCACCACCAGCGATGAAGACCTTCCCGGGGACCTGCAATCACTGTCGTGGCTCACGGCTGTGGACGTGCCTCGGCTACAGCAGATGGCGAGTGGCCGCATGGACCTGGGCAGCCCCAGTGCGCCCCACCCACACCCAGGTAGGCTCAGGGGCAAGGTGGGACAGCGTGAGGGTGGGCCTGGGCGGGGCGATACCCAGGAATGCCACCCAGCCACTGTGCGGCCGTGGCCAGGTCACTCTCCCTGGGCCTGTCCCTACCGCTGTCGGAGGCGACTAATCCTGTCTTCTTCAGAGGGATGTGGTTCATTCTTTTGCTCACCGCTATGTGCCAGACCCCCTCAGGTTTCAGTGGAAAATAGGCAGAGCCACCCCTACCAGTGGCCACTCCTGCAAACTATGTCCCGCAGGTCCAGTGCAGCCTGCAGCCTCTTTTCATACAACCTTTATGTTAAGAATGGTGCTTACATTTTTCAAATGTTGTTAAAAAAAAAAAAAAGACGACGACGACAAAAACGATATGGCCGGCAAAGTCTAAAATATTTGCTACCTGACCCCTTAGAGAAGTTGACTGACCTGTCCATCTAGAGATTAAGAAACGGAGAGCACTAAGCACCGGCCCTAACCCCCACCCAGGAGGTGCCCTCAATAAATGACAGCTGGGTGCACTTATAGTGAGTGGATTAAATGCCTGAGACACAGAAAGTGCTGAACAAAAACAATCAACAAAAGCAATCATCCCAGTACACTGAAAGTGTTAATAGTTGAAAAATGAACATTTAGGAGTATTTCTTTCAAGGACAAATTGTTCTTGGCCAAAATATCTGTAGCAAAGGTCAGCAAACTTTTTCCAAAAAGGACCAGGTAGCAAATATTTTAGAATCTATAGGTCATACGGCCATTGCAGTTCAAAACCAGCCACTGACAATATGTCAATAATTGGGCTTTGCTTGACTGCAGGTGGCTGGTGCAGTGCAAATCTGTGATAGATTAGCAATGTCTGCACAGGCCCAGCCTAGGACGGGGGTGCACACCTGCTACTCCTGAGCTGACCCTCAGCAGAGGAGCAGGGCTTGGCAAAGGGGTGAGGAGGCATGAAAGCACGTGGACCTAAACCTAGAGGCGCTGGGGAACCGAGGCACGCTTTGGAGGGAGAAAAATGAGCAATGAATTGATGTTTTAGCTTCATGAAGGACAGAAACCAAGGTATTAATTGTATTAGTACCATGATTATTATTTGTGACTCATATTTACTAAGATATTGCCACATGCTCAGCAACGTGCTAAGCATTTTATAGACATTGTTTCATTTAACCCTCACAACAGCTCTATAGGTAGGTAATGTCAGTAGCCCTATTGTATGGTTGGGGAAACTGAGGCTGGTCCAAGGTTGCAGAGCCAGTAGGAGCCCATTTTTCACAACGACACCCGAAGGAAGCGACCTGCCAGGCCCCTGCTGCGTGCCTGGCCCCCGCGGTGTGGCCGCGCTCCGTGCTCCGGAGGCGCCCACGGCCACAGTTCCTCCAGCTCAGCGGCCTCTCCCGGTTTCCCTCCTGCAGGCTCCTTGGCTGGGGTGGCAGACCTCCACGCGGGAGCCACCCCAGGCCCCCTGCTTCACGGCCCTGCTGGCATGGCCCCCCCAGGCGTGCTGGGCCTGGGCCCCCTGGCCGGCCACCGAGCCAGCGTAAGTGCTGCTGCATGGGGCGGGGAGAGACGGGGGTGGGGGGGGGCCTGTGAGTCTGGCAACTCTTCTGTCCCCCTGACCCTTTGTCTCCTCCTCTCTCTGCCCCAGCAGATGAACCAGTTCCCTGTGGGGGGCCAGCCCCCCTCCAGCCTGCAGGACCCCCCGCAGATGTACCCCCCAGCTCCTCAAGCACGGTTCCCACTCCTCCCAGGCGCCCAGCAGGTACCAGGGACTCAGAGGCAGGCACCCCTGACTGTGGCCAGCTGGGGACCCCTCTGAGCCTCGGTTTCCCTACCCGGGACATGGGGATACCATTCTCCACTGAGTCCCTGAGTCCATGGCCTGGGTCCCTCCTTCGGTTCTCCCTGAAGCCCTGCTGCGAGAGGAGACAACGCCGTCTCCCGGGGTTGCGAACCCCACGTCTCATCTGCTTCTCTAGGTTGGGGTGGGGGCGGGGTGACTGTGAGTGACTTACGCTCTCTCTCACCTTCTCTCTCTCTGCTACCTGTGCCCCGTCCCTGCCTGTGGCAAGGGCCCTCCTGTGGGCCTGTATGGCTCCCCGTTTGGGGCACGACCTCCCTACCCCCAGCCCCGCATGGCTGTGCACTCAGCTCAAGAACTGCACCCCAAACACTACCCCAAGCCCATCTACTCATACAGGTGAGGTCCAGGGTGGGCCGGGCCGAGGGGCTTGAGGAGGAGCGGGGTGAAGGATGCCTTCAGAGCGTCTCGGACGGCGAGATACGGTGGCCCAGACTCCCAAAGGGGAGGTTGGGGGACTGGGGAACCCCCAGGTGGGATATGTTCTCAGGAAGGACCATCATGTGGGCAGTCCCCCCCACCCCCCGAGATGAGAATCCACTGCGGAGCTGAGCTCAGGGCTACACAAGCTGTGTGGCCTTGGGGGAGTGGCTTGGCCTCTCTGAGCTTCAGTTCCCTCTGATGTCTGAAGTCATCAAAATAATAGCATTGTGTGCCTCACAAGATATGGGGTGGGATGGGGGGGGCCTGGTAAACAGCCTAGTTAAAGTCTAAAGGCCCATAGACTTTATTAATTAATTTATTAATTAAGGAGAAAGGGGTAAAGAAAGGAAAAGATGAGGTTTCTCGAATTGACACCAACAGCTGAGCTCAGGGTCAAGGAAAAGGGCAAGGGCCTGGGAAGACGTAGGGCCATGAAGAGGTATCTATAGTTAACCCTGTATGAATGCAGGGGCTGGTACCAGTAGAGGCAAGCAGGGCAGGCTTCCAGGCAGAGGCCACCTTGGCCTGTCAGCCTGAGATGCCTCCTTCATGGCTGGTGTGCCCACCCTTTGCCTCCAGCTGTCTGATCGCCATGGCCCTGAAGAACAGCAAGACTGGCAGCCTGCCTGTGAGCGAGATCTACAGCTTCATGAAGGAGCACTTCCCCTACTTCAAGGTGAGGGACCACAGCCCTGGGTAGGGGTGCTAGGGCTGCTCTGACCGCTCCCGAACACTGCCAGACCCAGAAGCCTCGCCAGGCCGGACTGAGCCACCCTTTCAGGCCCCTGGCTATGCCTGCAGGCCTGGCAGGAAGGATGCTTGCATGTGTGCACTCACAGACATGGGCCAAAAAGTCCAGGAAGAGAAGGGGGTTTTGAGCTGGGCTCTGATGAATGAAGAGGAGCTCACTAGGCATCCCAGGGGCAAAGGGGTCCACCTAGTTATTCAGCACAGACTCGATGAAAGGTAACAATGATGCGAAACACAGACCTGGTGAGAGCCTTTGCCTCTTGAGCCTGTTTCCTCACGTGGAGGATGGAGGAGGATAAGGCCCAGCTGGCGCAGTTAGTGAGGATTCTGCACGTAAAGGGCCTGCAGCTCCTGGCACGTGATTGGCCGTCAGCAATGTTATCCTTGTTGGCATCAAAGTTGGCAGCAAAGGAGCAGGAGGTCAGAGGGTACTAAGCTGTGGGGTCCCTAGCCTGGACGGTGTCCTTAGCAGAAATGTTGTAGCATAGGGGTGTGCATGTGCGTGGCGGGGAAGGGCAGCGGGGCAGGGCGGGGGTGGGGATAGAGGAGAGTGAATAGGGTAGGGTATGAGGTACATTACAGTCTCTAGTTACCTAACAATAAAGTAAAAGCATTTAAAAAGATTTGGCATTTAATACACTTGACTAGTTATTCATGTATTAGCATCATCTCGCTCACTTGCTTCCTACATGGGAGAGAAACAGTGGAAAACCCAGCAGCTCTGGGTCTTGTTCTCATGTAGTAACCAAAGGCGGGAGTTGAACTGTAGCGGTCCCTTTAATCAGGGCAGAGGCCCTCCAGTTTGCCACAGGCCCTGCCACTCTCTCTCGTCTTCCCAACTCAAGGCTGAGTGTCGGACACCGTCATCTGACCCCTGCTGCCTCTAGGCCTGAGTTTGGGATCCCCCCGCCGGAGGGGAAGGAGGGGTTTACAGGGAGGTCTCAGGAGGGCTCTCCCGTGCGCTCCTGTCTCCCCACAGACGGCGCCCGATGGCTGGAAGAACTCAGTGCGGCACAACCTGTCCCTGAACAAGTGCTTTGAGAAGGTGGAGAACAAGATGAGCGGGTCCTCGCGCAAGGGCTGCCTGTGGGCCCTCAACCTGGCGCGCATCGACAAGATGGAGGAGGAGATGCACAAGTGGAAGAGGAAGGACCTCGCTGCCATCCACCGGAGCATGGCTAACCCTGGTGAGGCCTGGGCCCCGCACTCACACCCCCGCCCCCCACCCGGACCCCCGCACCAGACAGACGGGCGCCTGGTGAACTTCTCCCCCTCCCCCTGTGAGGCACACTGGCCCCGCCTCTGCTCCCCAGTGGCTGGTCAGCGGAGACGCCTGGTCAGAAGCGTGAAGGGCTGTTGGAATCTCACTAGGCAATCCCTAGATTCTCGCTCAGAAAGGCTGAATTAAACAACCGCGGGAGAATGTGGCTGTCTCCCCTTCCTAACACATTGGCACAGATTTACAAAATAACCACAGCCAGTGTGGGCTAGGATGTGGAGAAACAGGCGCCTGCACCGACAATGGATAGGAAGGTGAGGTGTTCAGCTCTTCCAGGGCAGACCAAGAGCTCCAAGCCCCGCACGCCGTACCCATTTACTGGTCTGGTTGGTCTCCTTCTGGTGATGTAGGCTGAAGAAACCAAAGACAGGTAGGTATGTGTGTATATAAACACACACCTATGTACATATCCACACTCATTTATATGTATCGTATGTACGTGTACACACAACACCTGTATAACTATATCTAAATGCAAAGAGAGGGTGAGAGAGACTGGAATATACCAAAATCTCTACTGTGAATGGAGTAAAGATTTCGATATATGACATATATATATCTTTACTGATAAATTTTAGATTCTTCATGTTTCTGTATTTTCCAAATATTTACCCTGTTTGTGAATTACTTTTATATTAGAAAAAATATTGCATCTGCATTTTTAAAAATTAACGGATATAAAGGGGAGGATAGGAAAGGGGAGGCCAAGCCCACCCAGCCTTGGGAAGGTCTGTCCTGGTCCCGTGGCTCTGGTCCTGCTTGGGGTGTGGCTGTGGGGGGGGTGGGGCTCAGAGACGAGAATGGGGTGCGGAGCACAGCAGGATCCAGCGATTCCCGCCCCACCGAGAGCTCTGGCATCTGGCTTGAGACCCAGGGCCCCCCCCCCCCCGACACACTTACAGTGTGACACCTTGGGCAGGCCACTTCAACTCCTAGATTCTAAGTGTTCTTGTTTCTAAAATGGGTGCAACCCAGATGGATCTTGGGACCCTCATGGTCTGGGCTCAAAATGTGTTGCAGTCACAAGCCAACAACCAAAGATAAGTGAAGGGTAACTTCAGTCTCGTTTATATCCAACAGCAGGAAGGAGGATCCAGCTGAACCCACAGCAATACTTCCTACCGTCTCTTTAGTAGCAGGGAGTGGCTAGGGCCCTGTGTGTGTTAATTTTGTCCTGGCCTCACGGGATTTGTAACCCCTGCCTTCGCTCCCTCTTGCAGGGCTGTTAGGAGGTTCAAGTGAAGTCCTCGAGTTGCAGGACTATCCTATACGGCCCTGTCCCCGCGAGAGGAGCCCACGTTGTTACCCGCGGCTCCCCTCATTCCTCAGAGTTCCTATGCGGCTTGGGGTTTGTTGCGTTTCCACAGTAACCCTGTACGGTCTGTGCTGCCATCTCTTAGAGGAAGAGGCTGGGGTTCACAGAGGCCAAAAGGCAAAGTCACACAAGTGACAATGCTGGGACCTGAACCCTGAAACTGTCCAGTGACCTCTCAGTGACCTCTCTCGCTTGCCTGCAGAGGAGCTGGACAAGCTGATCTCAGACCGGCCTGAGAGCTGCCGACGCCCTGGCAAACCGGGGGAGCCCGAGGCCCATGGCTGCCTGGCCGCCTCCCAGCTGCCTCCCCAGCCGCTGATGACCCTGTCCCTGCAGTCAGTCCCCCTGCACCACCAGGCCCAGCCGCGGGCTCAGCTGGCCCCAGACTCTCCTGCCCCGGCCCAGACCCCGCCCCTGCACGCCCTGCCGGACCTGAGCCCTGGCCCCCTCCCCCACCCCGCCTTGGGAAGGGCTCCTGTGGACTTCGTCAACATCAGCACCGACATGAATGCCGAGGTGGACGCCCTGGACCCCAGCATCATGGACTTTGCTCTGCAGGGTGAGGCCGGAGGGCTGGGTGATGGAACAGAAGCCGGGGGTGGGGAGGCTGGGGGGCCAGGAAGACAGGGGAAGGCCATCTGCGTTTACCTCCGGCTCATTCCTCCAACGAACACCTCCCAACCACCTAGAAACAGCAAATTACATCAAGCATTCAATGAGCACTCACTGTATACCAGGCCCCTGGCCAAGCATTTCACAGGCAGTGTCGCGCCTCTTCCTGCAACAGTCCTGTGAGGACGCCGCTGTGTCCTGTCCCCGTTCCGCCAAAGAGGAAACTGGGGCAAAGAGAAGGCCAAGGGTCACCTGGCTAGTAAGTGGCTGAGCCAGGAGTTCAACCCACGTCCATCTGACACCAAACGTAACTGCTTCCACTTGCGTGTGCCAGCCTCGCGCCAGGTCACACTGACCCGCTCTCCCTGGCACATGGTCATCCTTGCTGCCTGGGAACAAACGAATGAACGAGGGAAGTTCGGGTTTCAGTGGAGGCTCGTGCTTCATCCATTCACTAACTCGGGCGCACCTACTACGTGCAGGCCAATAGCCTCTGCCCCCAAGGCATGTCTAGGGAGGAAAACGGATAAGTTAGTGGGTTAGTCAGTCGGCAAGTTAGTAAGCGGGTTACAGCTGTGAAATGGGTACGTTTGAACCTCCCTGCTCCTCCCCGTGAATAATCGTGTTGTTAACTGTAATGGAGAAAGGAAAACTGTTGTTTGGCCTCTGGTCTGACCACAACGGTGCCACTTAATGAGGGTCACGTGCTTTCCACACATGCCCTAGTTGAAGCGTTGGGGGTGGGTTCTCAGATCGCTCCACTTTATTCCGGGAGCCCGAGGCTCTGAGATGGAAGTGACGTCCCCAAGGACCCAGGGGGAGGGGGAGGGCTGGGGCTGGACCTCTGCCTCCTCTAAGCTGTTCTCCTGCAACATGCGACTTTTTTTTTTCCTAATTTTATTTGTTAACTTTATTTTTATTGTTGACACTATCACAGAGGTCCCCACTTAGCCCCCCTTGCCCACCTCCACCCAGGCCCCGCCCCGCAACATGAGACTTGAAATCCCACACGTGGTCTTGGCCTCCTCCCAAAGTGGGGATTCGCACTCGGGTCTGATTGACATGAAGCCAGCTCACCTACGTGCTTTTGTCTTTGAAAGGGAACCTCTGGGAGGAGATGAAGGACGAGGGCTTCAGCCTGGACACGCTGGGGGCCTTCGGGGACTCCCCCCTGGGCTGCGAGCTGGGGGCCTCGGGCCTGACCGCCGTCTCTGGCAGCAGCGATCAGTCCTTCCCAGACTTGCAGGTGACGGGTCTGTACACCGCGTACCCGACCCCGGACAGTGTGGCCGCGTCAGCCGCCACCTCCTCCTCTCAGTACCTGGGGGCCCCAGGGAACAAGCCCATAGCCCTGCTTTGAGCCGACAGCCTCCACGGGAAGCCTGTGGGGCCTCCCAGGTCAGAAAAAGAGAGGACAGCGGACAAGCATCCTGACCTCCCCCGGGACCTGAGACGTGAGGCCTCCAGCCCGCCTCCCTGCTGGGCTCCCCTCCACGGCCTGCAGCCCTCTTGGGGATGCGTTGGCACTCCCTGGAAACACCCTGGGGGGAGGGGAGGCCCTTTAATTTATTCTCCTTGGAGGAAACATCTGCCTTAGCCTCTAGGGACAGGCCTGAGGCCCAGAGCACAGCTGGCACCCATCTAGCTTCTCCTGCACTGGGGCAGGCTGACCTCTGACATGGGTACCTGGCCCACCGGCCTCCAGGCCGCCCCTGCTGTGGTCCGTTAGAAGTGCACAGAGCAGATCCCCAGGCCATGCCGGCCACACTGACCCTGTATACTTTTATTTATATTTATTGGAGCCCAACCAACCAACCTCTTCAAATCCAACCTGCAGTCCCTGGAACAAGACTTGCTGGTCCATCCCTGCATCCCAACAATCCTAATGCCAAAATCATCCGTGAATCACGTTTCCGGCTGACTTTTCTCCCTTTGCAGCCCTGGGCTGCTTTCTAGAACAAGCAAGCACTTTTGGTACTGCAAAGCACCCTGTTTTTTAAAGTTAGGGACCAGATAGTTTTTTAGCTGCTCAGTCATAATTCAAATTTCTCCCTGTATGGACCTAAGACGGGAGGGGCCCTAGTTGTGGGTCCCACGGGCTTTCTAAGGGCAAACCAGATGGATTGAGGAAAGGCGAAGGGGCTCTTGCGCTGGAATTTAAGACTCCCCTGTGGAAAGAAAGCAAACCGAACCACGTAAAGCGTGACCCATGCCGTGCGTAGCGGCTGATGAAGCTGCAGCGCAGAGTGTTTGTCGGCACTTGTTGCCTACTTCATTGTCCTGTGGCCGTTTTGATGTTTGTTTTTCTTTTGTTGCCAATTACTGACTTTCCAAGTGGCAGGCTCTGCAGACAGTTGGGTCGGAGGGGAGCCAGGTGAGAGGACCAGAGAAGAGAGAAAGTGATTGGGGATCTTCCAGCTGAGCGGGGACAAACAGCAGCAGCTTGTCCCCCTGGATGTGTCTAAGAGTTCCTGTGTGTGAGCAGTCCCCAACCCTAGAGCCAGAACTTTCCGATTGATCAGCAGGTCCACCAGCCACCTGGAAGACATGGTGTTCAGCCCCGTGTTGAAGAACCATCTTTAAGTTCTTTTGAGTTCTGGAACTTTCTGCCGAGCATCGCTCTCTTTAAACACAGCCCAGGGCTGCCCGTCTGACCAGCACCACTCAGCTGCTTTATGTGCCAGGACCCCCAATAAGTTAAGATGTTTGAGCTGTTCCTGCAGACCCCGTGTTCGGGTGACGCTGAGCTCTGTAAGCGTAGTGTTGAGTAACTGTCTTCTGTCAATAAAGGCTGAACAGCAGCTCTGTGGCTCCAAGGGTGGGGGTGGTAGTGGGGAGACGGGGGCAGGGGCAGGACAACAACATCACCCCTCACCGGCCAGACCCTATGTACAGAGAGGAAAACTGAAGCCCAGAGAGGCGACGCCACAGCCACGTGGAATCTAGGCCTTCTGATGCGAGGTTCCCATTCCACCCGAAACTGGGAGGAGTTTGCCATTATCAATAAAATTAGCACGGCTGCCATTTACTGTCCCTCAGGCATGATCTCAGGCAGGGCTGTGACTCCCCTTCACTGCTCAGAAAGCGGATGCTCAGAGAGGTTGGTAGGACGTCCACTCCGGGCCAACGGAGGAGGCAGGACTGAGTTCCTGGTGCCAGGCTGCAGGGCCGGAGCTCGGCGGCACGTGGGGCCAGAGAAGGTGGCGGGTGTGAGCTGCTGTGCCCGTTACCGCGCCAGGCCCCACGCCAGCCGCGGGCGTGAATTTGCTCATTCGGTCCATGTTACAGCCCTCACAGGTGCATCATTAGTCGGTGCTCCCATTTGCAAATGAAGGAACTGAGGCTCAGAGGCAATCGGCACGTGACTTACCACCTGAGATAACAGCAAAAGGCTGTAGTAATTAGGAGTCTAACTCTGAAGTGTGCCCAGGCAGCGGCTGTATCCTCCCTACGAGTGACAATTGGCAAATAAGAAAGGGGACGGGGTGATGGGGCCAGGGGTGGTGGTAGGAAGGGCTGCAGGGACCCCTGTGGAAGCCAAGCAGCAGGCGGGGAGGGGAACCTGCGGCCACCCCGGGCCACCTTTCTCTGCACCCCTTCTCCGTGTGGCTCCAGGACGGCCCTGGGACCCAGGCCCAGCCGAAGGGGACATCGCAGCCTCCAGCTGTCCCAGTGATTGGTTGGGGTTAGGGGGCAAGTGACCCAGCCGTGTGTGTCACAACCAGTGAGCACCAGCTGAGGGCCTTTGCAGAGGTGATGGGACGGGGGCACCCTCCTGGGGCGCTGTCCTGGGAGGGTCATGTCTGAGTGACGGTCCCCAGGTGAGGAGGGCTGGGGAGCCCCCCGCGGGTCTGATGTCCACTCCTCACCCAGGCTAGTGGGGCCAGGCACGCGTGGTCAAGGCAGCCAAGCCGAGGTCACAGAGTCGCAAGCAGGTACCACGCTGACACCGGAAGCAAGTGTGAAGGAGGGACGGGGGGGCAGGGAACAAGGCTTCGTGGAGGTTCTCTCTGGAGCTGAGCAACAAACAGGCGACAAACACAAACTGCCACCACGTGAGCACCTGCCACATGCTGCAGCATCTCCGTGAAACGGCACGGCAGCCCCCCCAGTCGTGGGGTGGTCCCACTCCCCAGATGAGAACAATGAGGCTCAGAGAGGGTGGTCGTACAGCTTTTCTTCCCCCTCCAGGAGAAACCATCCACATTCTAACAATAACCATGACACCGGCGAACGTGTATGGGGGGCTACTCCAGGCCACACGCACGGTCACACGTGGATCCCCTATTCCTCCTCCTCCCCACGAGGGGAGGCTCTTCGTAAGCCCTGAGGCGGGCAGGCTCACCCCCCACCCCCAGATCCTAACCCCCATAGCCTGCGGCCATGTTAGGCAAAGGGGACTTAGGGCAGCGGGTGGAATTAAGTGTGCCGTTAGCTGCCCCGAAGACAGGGGGAGTATTCTGGATCCTCCAGGTACACCCAATGTACCCACAGGATCCTTACAGGTAAAGGAAGGAGGCCGCAGGGTCAGTGTTGGCTGTGAAAGTGGAATGGGCCTCTAGAAGTTGGAAAAAGAAAACAAAAACAAAGAATCCTCCCTCAGGGCTTCCAAAGAGATCACAGCCTGCCGGCCCCAACTGGGGCCCAGCGAGCCCCACTTTTGACTTCTGACCTCCAAAACTGCAGAAAAATGAACGTGTTGTTTTTAAGCCACTAAGTTCATGACGGCCGCTACAGGAAACAAACACATTTGCTCTCTTTACAGAAGAGGAAGGGGAGGCTCAGAGTGGCCGAGCTTACCTGTGATTAGGGGGCCGTAGAGACGGAAGTCCAACCACGCTGCTTCCACAGAGTCGGAGTCTCAGGGCCGCAGCTGGGCAGGGGCGCACCTGCCTGCCCCCTGCTGAGTAGGGGAACCACACCTCTGAGGGTGGGCGGGGTGGGAGGTGGGGGTGCCGAGCCCAGGCAGCTGCCTGGGCCTACGTGGGCTCATTAACAGAGGTTTGGGGAAATGGGAGAAAGATATGGTCAAAAGCAGAGTGTGAGGCCCTGGGGCCAGGGATGGCCACCTCTGAGGGATCCTCGGTGCCCAACCTCAACCCCAGGAGTTGCCGCCCCCGCATCTGGAAGTGGCAGGACAAACATCAAAATTAAGGATGGAAAGGTGGAGAACTTCCTGGGAGGCGAGGCAGGCCTGGCAGCTGGGCAGGAGGAGCGGGGTGGGCCAGGGAAACGGAGACAGAGAATTCAGGAATGGCAAGGCTGCTGATGGAATCTGTATATCCCGCCTACGATGTTTAAGGGATGCAAATAAAGATTCAGTGACTTTTGAGTTGAAGTTACTTATAGACCCCAGCGATTAGGATGGTTACTATTGGGTTGGCCAAAAAGTCCCTTACACTTTGTGGAGGTTAGTTGTCTTTAATGTCATTTGAAACCATTTTGTTAGATTGTATTGGGTCATATCAGCGTGCATTTAGCAAAAACATCAAAACTGGTGAATTTTTGTGCAGCCATTTAACAGTGAAGTAGAAGAAGATATGCAACATTTTTGGCGTATTATGCTTTATTACTTCAAAAAAGGTAAAAATGCCACTGAAACGCAAAGACAATCTGTGCACCGTACAGAGAAGGTGCTGTGACTGATCGAATGTGTCAAAAGTGGTTTGTGAAGTTTCTTGGTACTGCTGACATTTTGTCCAAGTAATTCTTTGCTGCGGGGCTGTGTTATGCACGGGAAGATGGTTAGCAGCAGCCCTGGCCTCTACCCACTAGAAGCCAGTAGTGGGAGAGAGCTGACAGACTCAAAATATCCAAGGCAATAGTTATTGGTGAAAATAAAAAATGTGTCTTTTATTTTATGGAGAAAAACCATACAGACTTTTTGGCCAACCCAATATTCAAGAGAAAAAGCCCATTAAGCAAGTGTTGGTGAAGCTGTGGAGAAATCAGAACGCTGTGCGCTGTTGGTGGGAACACAAAGTGGCGCAGGTGTGGTGGAAAACAGTATGAAGGCTCCTCGGAAAAATTAGATAGAATCATCATATGATCCAGCGATTCTACCTCTGGGTGTAAAGCCAAAAGATGTGAAAACAGAGACTTGAACGAGTATTTGTACATCCACGTTCATAGCAGCATTAGTCACAACAGCAGCTCAAATGTCCATCAATCAGTAAATGGCTAAATAACATGTGGTCGATCCACATAATGGAATATTATTCAGCCTGGAAAAGGAAATTCGGACACATGCTATAACAGGGACGCACCTTGAGGTCACTGTGCTAAGTGAAATAAGCCTGTTACAAAAGGACCAATTCGTACATGAGGTAATTAGTTAACTTCATGGAGACAGAAAGGAGACGGTGGTGGTCAGGCCTGGAGGGAAGGGGGAAATGAGTTAGTGTTTAACAGGCATGGAGTTTCAAGTTAAGATGGATAAAATGTTCTGGAGACACGGGGTGGTGATGGTTAAAGAACAATGAATGTACTCCATGCCACTGAACTTCAAAACGGTAAATATTGTTATGCACATTCTACCACAAGAAAAAATGAAAACATCACTGCTGGGCTCTCAGCCTGCGCTTCCTGCACACCACATTGCTCAGAGATGAACCGCGTGTGTCAGGGTGTCGCAAAGCAGAGAATGTGTCATGGAGGTGGCGTTTTAGCTCACTGTCCAGCAGGGAGCCCCTCTCTACCGGTAGACTGCTGCCCAAACTTCACCCTCGACTCAGCAGCCAGGAGGATCTAGGGACCCCTGGGTAAATATTTTACTTACAAATCAGTTTTGCATATCACACAAAAGGGGGAGCACGGGGCTCCCCAATGTGGCAGGAAGGTGGTCAGGGGAGGCTGCCCAGAGGAAGCCCCGTTTGAGTTGGGTTTTGAGGGATGAGGAGGAGTCAGCCAGGCTAAGACCAAGCGGAGAGAAACAGCCTGCGCAGGGGGCTTGCTGCAGATCTCAGCTGTTGCAGGAGGGCGGTGAAGTCCAGGGGAATGGCTCAGGGAGGTGGCCTGCGCCGTTTTTTCTGATCCAGTTATTAAGTCAAGGCCAAAGAGCTTCCTTTAAAAAATAATTTATTCCACACATCTCCTGGTAGGTTCCTCCACCTACCGTTCCTGGGTAGCAGCTAGTCATCAACTGGTCTTTCTCTCTGAACCAAGGGGGCATCCCCCACACAGAAGACACTAGGTTCCCAAAGCAGCGTGGATTCCCCACCCCCAGCCTCAAGATGGGGCAACAAATAACTCCTGTGTCCCCCGCCCCTCACTGCCCCACGCCAGGGATGTCATTAGCTGATGACCAGACCATTTTTTTCTTAAACTCAATGGGGGCTTCCCTGGGCAACCCCCGTCCTCCAAATGGGCCAGGTGCGGCGTTGGGTGTCCTCAGACAAACTGCTCATCACTGAAGTGGGGGGTGGCCAAGCCCCTGCACGGTGGCCGGCCCCCGGGGCTCTTGGGCGGGGCCAGGGGATGGCAGGCCTGACGCTGTGCAGCCTTCAGAGCCCAGAGCCGGGGGCTGGTGGGCGTGTCGCAAAGGCCTCCCTGAGCAAATCGGCGTGGTCCTGTGGTCCAGCCCTTGGAAACCAAGAGTTCTGCCCCTCGGGGCTGGATCCCGCCAAGGACATCAAGGCAACAGGTGAGAGGGTGATGGTGGCTTGAAGGGGCCCTCCAAGGGGGTAGTGGCAATCACAGTGGTGACGCCTGTGACCAGGCTTGGCTGTGTGTTGGGGGAGGGCTTTCCTCCACCTCCGGGGTCCCGACAGGGCAGGAGGGTGCAAGGAAAGGGTGGCTTATCCTGTAGTGGGGGAGGGGCTCGTCCTTGTCCTCCGAGGGCTGCGAGCCACGCAGGAGAGACCTCCAAAGGCCCAGGATCGCACAGCCAGGCAATTCCGCTCATTTTGCTCTCCTCTCCCCGAAACAGAATCTCTGCTGGTGAGCGCCAAGCGTGGCCTGCTGGCAGGACATTCCTACTGATTCACTAGGGGACGTCTGGGGAACGAGATCCCATTTTATTCTCTTAATAAAAAAAATCACTTGTACCCTTTCCTGCGTGACTTGGCAGTTTCCAAATTAGCATCATTACAAAAACAGGTTTCTCTTCCTCGTCTTGTTTCTGTATTTCTCTCCTTGGCCTCTTTATTCTGCTGAAATACAGAAGGTGCTTACATCAAGAGCTGGTCTCAGAGTTTAAAAAAATAAAAGATTCCACGAGCTGATTAAAAAACGAGACTAAAAGGACACCTGGATCCCACACGCCAGACCCTGGAAGGAAAAGGAAACTCAGCGCTTGGGTTCCATTCGATTCAGTGATGCGGCCGAAATGTCTCAAAAGACAGAACGAAAACTTCCCGACAACGGAGAGGAGCCTCTTTCTGGCGGGAAGGGGGCACTCCTGGCAGGTTTATTGAGACAGGAGTGAGCTGGGAGCCAGCAGCCCTGCGGAAAGGCCCAGGAATTTTTTTCTTATTTCCTTTTCTTGTTTTCGAGGGCCTGCGGCCGGCGGGCGGGGCTCAGGTGGAGGCCGGGCTGCCCATGGTGGACAGGAGGTGAGCGACGTGCGCCCGCTCGGCCGGGTTGATAAGCTGGCTCACGCACATCATGCAGTCCACCGCCACCTCGGGGTTTTCTTGCACCAGGCTGCAGGGGACAGGAGGGAAGGCTTGGGGTCACCGCTGCCGTTAGTTCAGTGGGCCTCAGGGTGGCCCTGAGAATCCCCGTGCAGGGCACACTCCTGAGTGGACAACCCAGAGCTCCCGAACCTCTCCCTGCTGTGGTCACCGTGGGGGTGACAGTCCGGTGGGGGGCGGGGGAGAATATGGCCCGGGGTCCGAATGCCTTGGGGAGCGACAGTGCGCCCTGCTGGTCCCTAGTTGTGTGGCCTGAGGCAAGGCATTTCCCCTGAACTTCAGCTTCCTGCCCCAGATGGGGCCCTGCGTGATCTACCACCTTCCTCCCAGGGGACCCCGTGGGAATGGGGGGAGCAAGTCACCCAGAAAGGCTGATACCAATTGGGGGCCAGCAGCCTGAGGCCTATTGATTTAGAAGGTGGGCTCTCTAGCTGTGACCTTGGACAGGTCACCGCACACGTTCCTGCGACGATCAGGAGCCGAAATCATCGTATGCCCAGGGCTCTGGGCGAGCTGCGGCCCCTCTGCCAGGGGGCTGGGCCCAGGGCCGTGCCGTGGACCTCAGTGCCCAAAGCTGAGCCCGAGGCCGGGGGACGCCGCAGGGCGGTGGATTCCAGCGGCTGCTCTGGGGACAGGCAGCTGGGACCCTTCCTGGCTCTACACTTGCTTGTTAGTCCTGGGGACGGGTGGGCCACTCACCCTCGGATGGTCTTGAGCACTGAGTCACGCTTCAGGTACTTGATGTTCTCGTGGATGGCGGAGCGCAGGCCGTCCCCCACCTGCCAGTGCTGCTCCAGCCACTGCACCACCATCTGGTTGTTGTCCCACAGGTAGGCCTGGGAGGGGGCACAGGCTGCCTCAGAGGGGGACTCCGCTGCTGCGCGGGTCCACGCGCAGCACCCCACGGTGCTCGCCCGCCCGCCCGCCCGCCCTGCCTCCGGCCCCGGCCCACCTTGACGGCCCCCTCCGTCTCCACGAACCAGCGGCGCAGCATGGACTGGATGTGCACGTGGCTCAGCTCGCCGCTGACCTGCAGGATCTCCTGCTTGACCTGGTCCTCCAGCAGGAGGCGGCGCAGGCGCCAGTACAGGAAGGTGCGCGAGGTCTTCCACTCCAGAATGTCCTGCGAACAAGCACCAGGCCTGAGCACCAGGAAAGGTGGGGAGGCCACACAGGATGCCCCCTGGGGCGGAGCCCGCAGTGGGCGCAGGCTCTGCGATCATTCCCATTTCGCAGGACAGAGGCAGAGGCTTGGGGAGGTGAAGGCACCTGCTCGAGAAGTGGCAGAGCCAGGACGCCGCCAGGACTCTAGGCTGGTTTACCAGAGGCATGGATGGCTTAGCACGGGACACAGGGTAGCAGCTGACTGCGGGTGTCCTCTGGGGTGGGGCGATAGGGCGGGAGTCGTCACGGTCGGGGGTGCGTGAACACAGGACAGAAACACCACTTCCCAAATCTGGCTCAGCAGTTAGACACACACACACAGAGGTCAGACTGGTGGTTCCCAAACCTTCCTGCCTATGGAATCTCTTGGGGGACTTTAAAAAGGTACTGATGTCTGACTCCCACTCCAGAAATTCTGGCTTAGTTGGTCTGGAGAGCCACCTGGGCACTGGGATTTTTTTAAAACTCCCCAGGTGATTCTAACAGCAGTGTTGAGGCCCAAATCTCCTCCAGGTGTTGGGAGCCACGTGACCTAAGGACGGGCCAATCGTGCCCCGCTGAGCTGCTGCGGGGTCTTACAGAGATGACGCCCTTCTCCAGCATCCTGCCGGGCGTGTCGTGGAGGTCAGCGAACTGCACTGCCACCTGGTGGTAGATGGGCAGCAGCAGGTCCTCCCGGGCCTTCAGCCGGCCCTCCAGGTCTTTGCGGTCTTTGTCGGAGAGCTCGGACTTTCCTGCAGGAAAGGGCACAAACCGAACTTTGCAGGACAGGCCTGGCACAGGACAGGCCTGCCACAGGACAGCCCTGAGCTTTCACTCTGATAGCACTGCCGATGAAGCGGCTCACGTAGCGTCAGAAACACACCCACAAGGGCGAGAAGGCATTCAACTTGCAACGTCAACTGTGCCCCGTTTTATCAGACCTGCTATGCTTGCGGGATACCAGCAGCTACTATTTCAATACATATTGCAAAATATAATAAGAGAGTATTATAACTAACTCTAAGCCAATTCAACAACTTTGACAAAATAGACAAATTCATTGAAATACACAAACTATCAAAGCTCACCCAAGAGGAAACAGATTAATGCCAATAGTCCTACATATATGAAAGATGAATTCATAGAGAGAGACCTCCTACCAAAGATTTAAAGAAACAATGCTAATTCAAACTCAAAATAAGAGGGGACACTTCCCACTCACTCTATCAGATGAGCATTACCGTGATAACAAACCAAAGAACTCACACACACACACACACACACACACACACACACACACACATCTTGGGAATAGCACAGTCATAAAGAACCTGTCACCTGACATGGACTTTTAGAGAGAATTACACCTCAGGCAACAAGTGACACAAAGCTATCACTCAAATGAAATTGGTAAACCAGAAATACTTCATGTCTGATTGGAAATTCTAAAGGAATATTTTGTTACCAAAATTCTGATGTTCCTCACTGATCCAAAATACTTCAGTGGTTTGATGAGAAATACATCCACTAAGGCATTGTGTAAGTTTTTTAATGTTAAAGGGGTTGACTTGCTATACGTGGACATTTAAAATATCTCACAAGCTTGCCGCTGTGCTTTGGTATGTTTTCCCTTTACTCTTCACAGACTAGAAACCTCCAGCAACCGAGGGCCCTGGGCCTCTCTTGACCTCTGGGAAGTGGTGCGTTTTGGACCTTCTCACCTAACTGTTCCACGAGCTTCTTGTAAACGGGGTCGATCCTTCTCATGGCCTTTATCAGATCTTTCTTTCGGAATTTAATCTCCACTGTTCCCTCTGGCTCCAGGACACCCCCTCTGAAAAAAAAAAAGAAGCAGGGGTGAGGCGTGTGAGGGGGTTCCCCCAGCAAGTGACAGGCAGCCAGGGACATGGGGCTCAGGCCAGAGAACCAGGAAGCCTGGGTGTCTGTTCTTCGCTCTTTCACTGACGCACCGTGGGACCTTGGGCCCTGTGGACCTTGGGCAACTCACACTCCTTCTCTGGTCATCTGCTTCTCTATCCGTAACATGGGGAACTGAGCCCAGTTTTTAAAACAAAGCTTTCCGAACTCTAGAAGGCCCTTCCAGTTCCAAGGCTGTATGACTTTCTCCAGAACAGCACGGCTCTCCTGCTCCTCAGCCGCACACCTGTCTGACCTGCCTCGTTTCTCTCTCCTAGAGCCAGGCTGCTGTTCCTGATCGCAAAGCTCACAAGGGCATGATGAGGGGTCCAACACGGTCCCATGTGAGCTGCCCTCCCATGTCCAGCCCTCTCACGCACCCCTTATTCTTCTGATGGCTTTGAAGCCCTTAGGGATACTTTATATAGCTCTGAGCTTCCTGGCAGCCAGAGTGAAAAGTTAAAGAGGCTGCTGTCTAGGCACACTGAAGGTTTAGCTCATTAGTACCATATCACAATGCCTAGCATTGTCTGGTGTATAGTAGGCATTCAAAAAATATTCACTGAATTAATGAATGAATAAGGGCATGAACACAAGAATAGGGTGCCTATATTTTTGGCAGGACTACACTTAAGGCCTTCATATCCCGCACAGTGTATTGTGGTGAGCTGTTACTCTGAAGGCACTCAAACACTGTGTTGCAAGTATTACTGTCATCATTCTTTCTGTAAGAGTTCCTGGGATGAGTTCCACTGTGAAAATGTTCCAAGAAGGCTTCTCTCCCCTGAAGAACGGGTACCCCCTCACACAAATATTCATTCAGTCATTCGTTTGGTTGGTATTTCTTGACCACCCACTAGGAGGTACTGTGCGAGGCCCTGTGTTATAAAATTGAATAAAATACAGCCCCCAAGGAACTCATAGCTTTTGGAGAGACTCGGAGTTTAGTGAGAAGTAGATGACTGGTCATATTTCCCTTTTCATCCTGGCTGCCAGGAAGCTCAGGTGCTTTTCACCTTTCCTTATTTGCTTGCAAACTTCCTTGGGAAGCAGGTGTATCAGTTATGAAAGAAAAGACCATTCCTCCACCACCTCTGTGCTTCAGCCACTTGTTCTACTGAGAAAATCCAACTGGACACTGGATGTTAGTTTCAGGTAAAACTGCAGGCTCTCCATCCTTCAGAAACTCAGAATGTCCCCGAGATCCTCAGCCAGTGGCTCCAGGGTGATGGGGCCTCAGGACTGGCAGTGAGAACAAGCGAAGGCTAAGCCCGGTTGAGGGCGACACACCCACCTGCTCTCTTTGTCTGCATACATCTCTATGCACAGAGGGTTGATGGTGGAGTCCAGGACCACCCAGGAGCCTCCCCGGAGCTCCGCATAGGGCGGGATGTAGATGAGGATGGGCTGCTTGTACTGCCTGAGGCCGTCCACGATGTAGGCTCCGAACTTCAGCACCTGATCATACATGTCTGAAAAGCAAAACAAAGCAACTGCTCAGTGAGGCAACCTCAGGCCTTAGCGCTCATCCACAAGCAAAGTCTCTGTTGTCCTGGGGGGTCCGGGGAGGCATGCTTGGCGGGGGGGTTTCATGGCGCCAAGGAAAGGGCACTGGGCTGAGGGTTGGGAGCCAGATCAAGCACAGGCGGCTCTATCATCTGTTTCATAACAGGGAGCTGAGCATCTGTGTGACCTGGGAAAAGTCACTCTCCCTGCCTGGGCCTCCATGTCCCCACCCGCAAAGGGAAGTGTAGAGAGGGACGGAACTCTAAGTTTCCTCTCAGCTCTGCACTGTCCCGCCGTGTCTAGCACGCAGGATAACGCAGTCCCTTCCCTCCTGCCCATAAGCAGCACAGCCCTTATTTCCCAGGGGACACCAAGGCACGTCCTCCAAGCACGGAGCACCTTATGTGGTAACAATAACACAATTATAAAATCAACTGTGACCACACGGAGAAATGCCGCTGTGTGCCAGAGATCGGCTCACCGAATCCTGACCTTGGCCACCCTGGCTGTCTCTGAGGTTGGCCCTTTTCTTACCCTCCTTCACAGAGGAGGGAAACCGAGGCTTGGACAGGTCCCCCAGCCAGCGAGCGTTCACTCCGGCCGGCCCGCCTGCCAGGCGTGCGTCTCCGCGGCACCCCGCTGACAGCTCTGCCGCTCGAAACGCACTCGGGGGCCTAGAAAGCGCTCGCACCGCTGCCAGGCGCAGTGGCTCACAGCGCCTCCGAGGAAGGCAGGGCAGACGCGCCTTCTCATCTTCCCGAGTGGGGACGTGGCTGCCCAGGTCCCTGAGCAGCTTCTGGGACTGCCCCTCCCTGTCCTGCCACTCATGGGGCAACCTCCAGCGGGTTACAGCAGGAACCCTCCATTTTTCATCTGTGAAATGGGCTGTCGCCTGAACTGGTCCCGCCCTCAGGGGTGTGGGCGTGGCGGGGGGCTCAGCTAAGACGACAGTGGGACCACACACAGGGGGAGGCCGCCTCACCTTTCATGCCGCCGGAGAAGCCCCTCCAGTTGGCGAAGATCATCAGGGGCAGCTTCTCCTGGTTGAAGTCCTTGATGACCTGGGCTGTCTTGTAGGCTGAGTCCGGGAACCACACCTGGCCCGCCTGCTGGATGATCTGGAACGCAGAGCCAGCTGGATGAGCCCCCTCTGTGCGAAAGCGACCTCAGGGCACGGGACGGGCAGGCACCCCCACCAGCGCTGGCACCAACACCGGGGCCAGGCTCGCAGAGGGGCCCCAGGCTGGTCTCTAAGAACCCCACTAGACCCTCACCCTGTAGCCCAGTCACAGGCTCAGAGGCGCCCCGAGCTAGTCAAGGCCACAGAGTAGGGTCCCAGGACCCAACCTCTGGCCTCTGAGCTTCTCACAGAGGCCCAGCCTAGAAACATCAGCAGGGATGGAGCGAGTGATGGGAGGGATTCACAGGGACCTCCTGTCATCCTCTGAGGAAGAAGGGAGACGGTGTGGGGCAGGACCAACCCACAGAGAAAGTGTTGGAGCAGTGGTGCTGAGTGTCCCGGGGCCACGTTGCCTGCGAGTCTCTGAGCTGGAGAGGCAGGCACGCGACCGCTAGGACCGTCTCCTGTCGCTGAACCGGCTGACACAGCAGCCCCAGCTCCCCAGTCCCCTCACCTTTGCCTCGGAATCCAGGTTGGCGGGGTCTGCAGGCACTGCCACCTCCACTGTCCGCGTCTCCACGGCGATCACTCCGACAGGGATGCCCCCCAGCCTGCAAGGCGGAGCACAGGTGAGCCAGGGGCTGGGCAGCACCCCCAGGCCCCTGGGGGGCTTTGGGGTCCACCCAGACCCAGCTGACAGTCTATGGGTGTTCTGGGAGTGGACAGTGATGGCCAGACAGAGGCACACAGGGACGGTGCTGTTGTCACTGCGAGGTTATTTCATTTTATTTACTTTTAATCTTAACCCAAGGATACGTCTATTGATTTTAGAGAAAGAGGAAGGAAGGGGGAGAGAGAGAAACACTGATCTAAGAGAGGAACATCAATCGTTGCCTCCCGTACACGCCCTAACTGGGGATCGAACCACAAACTTTGGGTGTATGAGACAATACTCTCCAACCAACTGAGCCACCCGGCCAGGGCACTGCAGGTTATTTTATGGAAGGCAAAGCAGCAGCCCAAAGCAGTATGAGCCCCACCAGCTGGCAGGCAGGAAAGGTCCTGTTGGTGCGCTGACTGGGGCCACAGCCATCATGCGAGGGGCAGGCGGGCCCGGGTCAGGTCCGAAGCAGCGCTGTCTGCCAGGGCTGCACGTGATGATGGCCACGCTCTCCACCTGCGCAGTCTGTCCAGCACAGCAGCCGCGAGCCGCAGGCGGTCGCCAAGGGCTTGGAATGTGGCAAGTACAACCGGAGAGCTGCCATGTCATCCTCTTTCCTTTTAATTCATTTAAATCTGAACGGTCACACGTGGCCAGCAGCTACCCACTGGACAGTCAGGTCTCGGCACCGAGCTGCACTTGGAAAGGACTGAGTGACGTTGAGCCTGGAGGAGCTTCAGCTCCGGGGATGCCACAGCATCAGTCACTGTCACCGCTGGATCCCGGCCGCCCCATGTTGCATGTGTCACTTGATGACTCTATTTTGTCACCCAACAACCCTTGAGGCAGGGGAGGGAGGACCGTCTTCAAATAACGGAAGGGCTTCTACGAAGACAAAGGGGGCTTCATCTCAGGTTTTAAAAAATGTTTTTTACAATGAAACACTTATGGAGAAGCAACTAGTGACAATACTAGGCTCAGTATTTTAATATATATCACCGGGAGGTAAATATTAATAACAATAATCATGAGTAATAGCAGCTGCTGCCACTTATGGAGCATTTATGGTAATTTTAAGTGCTTAACGAATGTTATTACTTCTCAACATCATAACGATCTTCTGGGGGTAGAATTATCATCCCCACTTTACAGATGAGGATGTGAAAAGCCACAGAGGGTAAGTGACGGAGCAGGAGCTTGACCGCAGGTCCAACTCCAGAGCCTGGACTCGTAGCAACTATGCTGTGCAAGGAATCTGAGCGGTAAATTGCGAGGATGCAGCTTTGGGCTCCATAAGAGGAGGAGTCTTCAGGCCACTGGAGCTGTCTAAGAAGGTGGCTACGCGCACTGCTCAGGGGTGAGCTGCTCGGCTCTGAAAGCATTCAAGCGGTTAGGCCTTGCACTAGCTGCAGTATACGGCCGGGGCTCCCTGACCGTGGCCTTCCTGAAATGGAACTCAGTTTTAAGTGTTTTGGGGGTTTTCTAGCGAGAGCACGCAGGGCCACCTTCTGATCCCCAAAGAGGTCTGTGGCCCCCGTAGCTAGAGAGCCCTGTCCCAGGGAGGGCACTAGGGGCCAGGACCCTAGCCCCCAGCAAGAAGGTGTCTGAGATGCCTTCTAAGGCCACAGACAAATCGAGACTTTATGAAGTTCGTCATTCAGAAAGCCAACTCCCCAATCCTGGGGCCAAGAAGAAAGTGTCCCTGTGGGGTGGGGGGCCACCCATCCCTGTGCCCGGGAGTCCCAGTGCCTGATGAGGCCAGATGTGTGCGGCCCGCTCCGTCCTCAGGGTTACCTTGCACGCCCCGTCACCACGGTCTGGGCCCAGGGCGCCAGGATTTCCTTGAAACTGCCCTGGTCGAAGAATCCGCTCTGCCAGGATCCCTTCAGAGCTGTGGGTGGAAGGCAGAGGCCGGGGCTGAGGGGCCGGGCTGGTGAGGACCTCCAGGGTCCACTTGGCAGGTGCAGACTGTTCTGTAGTTGCTCCAAGGACAGCCTGACCTTGACCTGAAAGCCCAAACACCTTTCTTCCCTGGAAAACCATACAGATCCCAATCCCTTGCAAAAACACCCCAAGAACACCCACAAAGAACAGGGCTGCAAAAAAAATACACCAAGTCGGAAATTCAGTTCATAGAGATTAGAATATCGAACCACATCAATTCCCATCAACACCAAACACACGGAGACCCCCATCAGAGCCTCTGCCTTTTCTTCCCAAGAGGCAAAGAGCTGATGGACGCCTTCGGATGGCGGGTTTTCAGCAGGGGGGATATCTGTCCGGAAAAACTCATCCCTGACCCCGACCTGCTGGCTGTAGTTAATAGCCATTTACCTTCCCACTTAACAGAGAATAACATGTTCAATTTCCCAGTGAGAAAGAGAGGAGAGAGAGAGATGGATGACATCAGATGCCCCTGGAGAGGAAGCGGCAACTTAAACCCACCAAGACGGTGTCCATGGCCAAGAGTTGGATACGGACAACCAAGCGGCAGGAGGGGCCTCAGGCTGCAGCTGGGAGGCTGGGTGTCTGGGAACGGAGCGGCCCAGCTACAATGTCGGCCTGAGGACTGGCCGTCATTAAGAAGTCAGACGTTTTTAAACCGAGATAAGGCCAGCTGCCTCTGCGCCCACAGGTGAGAAAGGCCAAGAGAAAGAAGAGGGGGAATGAGCCGCAGGGTGTCTTCTGGGGCACAGGCCGCCGGGCACCTGTCCTGCACCATGCAACAGGGCAGGGAGGAGATTTCTAAAGGAGGCAGCCTGTGAAATTCTAGACCCAGGACGATGGAAACGGGGGAGCTCAGCTTTCCTGCTCTGTTCTGGGTGCTCAGACTGTAACCATATACCACTGGGGGCCAGACGTGCTGCTTTTGGAGAGGGAGAGACTGCATGTGTGCACAAGGGCGTGTTAACACGTGTGTGCATGTGTGCATGAGTATCTGCGCGCGCGCACATGTGTGTGTAGAAGAGATTAAGCTGCCTGAGCTGGGCAAACTCACAGACAGCTCCCTTGTGAAGGTGTAACCAGAGACAGGGAGAGAGGGAGGAAGGGAGGAAGAGGAGAAAGGAGCAGCCTTTGAAATTCTGATGCATCAGCCTGACATTCCACCTATAGAACCAAGGGGCAGTTTGGGGAAGGAGGTCGTGACCTCTGTTGCCCTCATCTCCAGATGCTGGAGGCTGGTTCCATCCCTCCTTGGTCAACAGCTCAGGAAAAGCCCAGAGTACAACCTCAAATCCTCCGCTCTACTCTGCCTTTGACCTCAGGCGCCCGCCCAAACACCAGGGCTTCTAACTCAGGGCTCCGTCACTTCAGGCCCAGAAAAGATACCGCAGTCCCAGGTCTCAGGCAAACACCGGAGGACTTACTTGGGTGAGGCCTTCCTGCAAGCATCCATCGGGGGTCATACGGGGCTCTCGATGGGAAAAATTCTATTTCTCTGTCAATGGGGTCAGTGGGCGTGATGATAGGGACCGGGCTGTGATTATCCTAGAAAAGAAAGCCAGGTCTCCGGCTGTTTCCTGTGCTTGTCCACAAGGCCTGCGGCCTGCTCATTGTGCTCGTCTCTTGTGACTGTGATCACACCTTGCTGTGCAGCCCAAGCCGAGGCCCAGCCCCCATGAGCATGACCACCACAACTCCGAGCAGCACTCGGTGAGAGCCTCCCACGTGCTGGGCTCCAGACGTTGCTTCACTTAGGCATCAGGATAACACTCTGGGGGTGGAGGCTACTGTTAGTCCCATTTTCTGGATGACGAAACTGAGACTCATTTGTCCCTGGGTCTGACTGCTCCTGAGGAGGAAGCCAGGAACCTAATCCCGCCCGACTATAGTCTGAGGTTTCTCTACGGTCTAGTGTTACCTCTTTTGTTGAGAGGTGATGCCATCCCTTGGTTTTTTTGCTTTTTTTTTTTAAGCCAAGAACAACTAGTACAGGGCTGGGTGCCAGAGAGGGAAGGAGGGAGCAATAAGGAAACATTCACCCGGCCACACCTGCAGGGCTTCCCGCTCCCCACGCTCCCACGCCGTGCAGTGTCCCGGGTGTCAGCTGCGGTGGGGGGACCGTACCTTTGGCATATAGGACAGCCACTCCAGGATGGTGTAAACGCCCTCGAAGTCATCCGGCACGGTGATGTGGGAGATGCCATTGTTATGCATGATCTGCACACCGCCCAGCTGGTTGTTGGACGTGTAAACCTCTCTGCCCAGGACCTGCTTAGCCACAGCATGGTTAGCGCGGTCCTGGCTGGCCCGGGGCCCTTGCTCCTGTTTGGAAGCCATGTCCCTCGGGGGTCCTCAACCCTGGCTGCACATTAAAACCACCAGGGAGCTTTCAAAATCCAGGTACCCCGGCTGCACCCAGACCGACTCTATTAGAATCTTTGGTATTTTTTTTTAACTTCTAGAGATAATCCTAACACGCAGCCCACTTTGAGAAGCAGAGCCTTCTTTGATCACCCTGATTATGATTACTTAGGATTGCTTCGGTCACCTCAAAAGTAAAACCCTTCCCGTGCTTCTGATTCAGTGGGTCTGGGGCGGGGCCTGAGAATCTGCATTTCTAACCAGTTCCCTGTGCTGACGCTGCTGGTTCAGGGGCGGGACCTCGACCCTCAGTGGGATTTGAGCAGACATTCTGTTATGGAAGCTTTACAGCAATGTGGAAATGTCTCCACAGAGTAAAAAACGTAGAAGACCAGGCTGCACACTCATTGAGATTCTAACTACGTACAGAGAGGAGGTGAGGGGGAAATGCACCCAAATTACAGCAGGGGCACAGTCACTTTTTGGGGTCTTTTCCCTAAATGTGTACTGGGTAACACTGTGTTAGGAATTTCAATAATTTTTTAAATTAAATAAGTTTAAGAAATTTAAATGTCAGTAATATATACAGAGCCTAATCCTTTTGGGGGGTTCTAACAGGCCCAGATATTTGCAAACTGGAAAAACAGTTCTTCATCCGCAGGAAAGATACAGGTTTCATGATGGGAAAAAACCATCGGGGACAAGGGGAAGGTCCAAATGACCGCAGGCCCCTTTGCAGTCACCTTGTTGAGCGCGCTGGCGCCTGTGAGAATGATGTGGGAGTTTTCCACCTGGATCACGCGCTGGCCCAGCCTCACCAAGTAGGCGCCGATCCCAAGGGCTCGGCAGGTCACCTGCGGGGACAGAAGCCCTTCTGAATTCCTGAGGGTGATGTGTCTGCCCCCAGGGCAGGACCCGGAGGGACACGAATGGAAGCCACAGCTTGGCCCCTGGCAACCTGATTCAGCGCCAAACAGCAGAGGCCAAGCCTGTCCTTCAGGCTCGCTTGACCCTGACTTCCTACCCAGGAAGAACACACTTAACCAAGAAGAGTGTTTTACACAGACAGAGAGCAGACACAGAAGGTTCTGGTTCTTCTTCATAAGACATGTGGGAAGCCCTCTTGAGCTGGGTCATTCACGAGCGGTCGCAGCTGCTCACAGAACCAAAAGGACGGCTGAGGGTACGTGCGAGACTAGTGAGACCCGAGAACGGTCTGCTCCGGGTTCAGAGAGCGGTGGCGACGTCAGTGTCCCGGCTGTGACGGCGGACTGCGTGTGAAAGGCACCGCCACGGGGGAAGCTGGGTGAAAAGTTCACAAGACCTCTCTACACTACCTTGGAACTTCTGGTGAGCCCCAAACGGTTTCTAAATAAATACACATGTGTGCGCATGCACACGTGGGCACGCACGCACACACGCACACAGGTAACCCTTGAACAACACGGGAGTCAGGAGAGCTGACCACCCACCCCGCCAAAAATCCGCGAATAACTTCGACTCCCCTCAGGCAACTATTAATAGCCCACTATTGACCAGAAGCCTCACCAAGAACATAAACAGTTGGTTAACACATAATTTTATGTCATATATGTATTATATACTGTGCTCTTACAATAACATAAGTGAGAGAAAAGAAAATGCTATTAAGAAAATCATAAAGCAAAGGAAACACTTTTATAGTGTTTATGGAAAAAACCCAGGTATGTATGTGGGTCCCCACAGTTCAAACCCGTGCCATTCACGAGTCACCTGTGTACCTATAAAAGACATATATGTATGCAATATATGTAAGATACATGATGTGTATCTGTTGGAATATCTAAGATCTATATCTTTCCATATATTTCAAGGTAAGTATATTTTTGAAATATATACATATATTGTTTGAAATAAATATGTCTTTTATATACATGTCTTTTTATTTTGAAATATGCATGACATGCAGGCAACGCACATGTAACATCTAGAACACAAGCCTAAGGAAGGCACCCAGGGCCGGCGCCTCCCACCTGGGAAACTAAAGACCCAACACCGAGTGTGAAAATAAGGGCCAGAGGAGCTGTTTACCACTAAAGGTCACTGTCACTCCTCCTGCTCCTGGAAACAGAAGCCGCGGCTGGAAAGGCCACGGTGGCGGGGTGGGGGGAGATACTCATCCAGTTAAAATCGAACAAAAGTGCTTCTAAAGACTGCACACCTTTTCAATAAGACGAGATTGGACCCTGATTCAAACAGACCAACTATGAGAAGACATTTTTGAGACAACTGTTAAAACTGACGTCACCTGGGCTCTGATGATATTACAGAAGTGTCACAGGTATCAGGGGCAATAACAGTAAATTAGGGGGCAAATCTTTATTCCATAAAGATCCGATTTCAAGTTTACAGATGGAAAGACAGGCGAGGGAGCCTGCTTTAACCTATGCCGTATCGGGGCAGAGGGCTTCAGGATGCAGGCCCGGCCACAGGTTGGTAATTATCGGAGCCACGTGACGAGCACATGGGGCTTGTTATCAATTCTCTTTCCTTTCGTGACTCTTTTAAAGTTTCTATAATGAAAAGCGTAGACATAAAAGAAAACACAGTAGGAGGCGACTCACCAAGCTAATGGTGATGATCTCTTCGTAAGCCCGGGAGGACTCCCCGGCAATCATGCCCGAGCCCTGCAGGTTCTCCACGCCCAGGCCGTCGTCCTTCCCAATGATATCCGTGATGATGTACCTGTAAGAACCAAACGCGAGTGAGCGACCAACGTCTAGTCCAGCAAAGCCCAAGGCTGATGCATTTCCCAAGGATCTGTGGCAGGGGAGACCAGCAAGGTGAAGGCCTGGAAGGTGACAAAGCAGCCAGACGTGAAATGAGAACAGAGGTCCAGACCCCTCATGACCAGCCCCAGTGTTTCTAGAAGCCTCTTCCAAGGCCGTCATACTGAAACGTCATCCCCACCTTGCATTCTTGCTAAAGCAACCGAGAATACCGCTTGGTCTACAGAGAGATACGGGTGTACGTGGGAAGCCACTTAGCTCACAATCAATCAGGACTTCGTGGCCATGGAAGTGTGGGAGACACTGTGCATCCTAACCCGGCAGAGTCACAAGGCACTTTTTAGCACATTAAAGTTCTGAGGCCCTGGCTGGTGTGACTCAGTGGACTAAGCGCTGGCCTGCAAACCAAAGGGTTATCGGTTCAATTCCCAATCAGGATACATGCCTGGGTTGTGGGCCAGGTCCCCAGTGGGGGGCGCACAAGAGGCAACCACACATTGATGTTTCTCTCCCTCCCTCTCTTCCTCTCTCTCTAGAAATAAATAAATAAAATCTTTATTTTTAAACAAAGGTTCTAAGGAGACCTTTGGTAAAGTGCTCATTAGATCTCATTTAACCCAGTGCTTCCCAAACCCACCTGACTATGGAAATTATTCCTCCTTCTCACATGTCCCCAGCTAACATTCCAGAAAACTCAGCCTGGGAAATTCTGATTTAGTCAACCTCCCTGAAAAAAGTCCCCACACTTTTCCCTGGAAAAGGCAGCCGGTAGCCTTGATGTTCTCGTGGAGCTGAACCCTGCCCTGCCCACCCTTCCCAGCCTGCCAGATCACTGCGGCATCAGTTTGGCTAATTTGGTCATAAAACGGGAGCCTGCAGCTCTGGGGACATCGTGGGAGTTCGATCTAATTCCCCGTGTAGTGTACTATTTGTGGGAGAGGCACGGCTTACTCGGGGATGACAAGGGTGTGCTCACCTTAGAGGACGCACCGGGTATTTAAGTCGTTAGAGCTGAAGCTCAAGGGCACCACTGTACACACACCACCAACCACTTGAAAATACAACCACGATCCAGGAGGCCAAGAGGCAGACCCACCAGCAGTAGCCGAAATGGGCCCCAGGCACAATGAGGGAGCCACCTGCGGGGGCCATTTACCTGGATTCTCCTTCTTCCTCGATGTGTTTACAGTGGACGGAGTTCAGAGAGCTGATTCTGGTGTACTCTTGCGGGGTCAGGTACAGGTATTTAAATCCCTGAAAACAAAACAAACTCCAGTGAAGCTATGAATCCAGTTCCCTACTCTCGGCAGCCACTGTTTTTTTAAAAAAAAATCCACACTGTAGGGAGGATGTTAATGTTAACATGTTTGTAATGTTTATAATACGTTAACATGTTTATAATTTGTTGACATGTCTGGTATTAACACCATGTTAATAATAGCTGTAAAGTGAAGATCTGCTAAGTGCTTTCCATTCATCATTACAACGTAACCTCACTCTTTTCCCTTGTCTGATTCTGTTTCTCAGTCACCGTTCCACTGTCGCTCCCCTAGGGAGAACGTTGACTTTTATCCTCATACTCAGTCCTCCTCGCCAATTCCGTTATAGTGTTGGGAGTGTGGGTCTGTGTGTCCATGAGGTCCGTCCAGAAGTCCGACCACTGTTAATACACCAAGAGCAGTTTGTGTGACACCAGTGTAACCTGGCGGCCAAGGAGGGTGGACTGGAACGCGCGTGGGTGGACAATGACGACTTCGTTGTACTAGTCAGTGGCGGTGGCAGGCGCCGTGGAGTGAGCCTGTGGACCGTGTGGCCGTTGCATTCAAAACAACTGAGCGAGTAGAGCAACAAACCTGCACCAAATTTTGTGTTAAGCAAAACTAAAATCACCTTTAAAAGGGAAGAGATTTCAGACCGTGAATGAGATTCAGGAAAATGTGATGGGGCAGCTGATGGCGACTGGAACTGTATGAGGTCCCCCGGTGCTTACTTTGAAGGGGACTGAGGAATCATGGTTCTATGTGCAATGTTCCTTGTATCTTCTTCAATAAATGTCTCTATTTTTCACATTGCATGGCTGGATACTTTCTGGACAGACACGTGTGCGCTTTCTACATGAAAAAGAGTAAATTTTGCCCCCCCATATTGCCCCCTTGGAAATGCAAGCTCTGGTTGCAAAGAATGACCCTGTCCCCCGCGTTTTCACATCATAAAACGTGCTTTTCTCTTATTCATTGTGCCTTTTATTGTAGCGGGTGCCTCTACATCTCCCGGATGATTTTAAGAAATCCGGGGACTATGTATTTTTCACCTTTGCATTCAGGAGATACACGTTATACGTCTGTATATACATACAAATTAGCTCAGTGTTCATAAACTTTTTTCATTGCTGTCCCCTCAGGAGCCTGTTTAGACGTGTTTTCCTAATTGCCATGCCTCCCGTGAATTTCTAACATCAACATACTGTATGTCTGTGTGGATATCTGTGCTTTACATAGAAAAAGAGTAACAGATATTTCCACTCCCTTGTGGGCACTATCACCCCCTGGAAGATACAACACTAGCTGAGCAAATGATACCACCGCAGCACTTCCCGACGTACTTTGTGGGGGTCGTCTGGGTCCACCCAAGCCACCTGGAACATGTGCTTGATCTCTTCTGCAAGGCCAATCCGGGCCCCGCTGTTGGCTGCGAGGTAGATTTTGGGGATGCCCTCGGCCCGGGCCAGCTCGGACGCCCGCAGGTACAGCAGGTCTTCTCCCACCCCGAAGGATCCGATGCGGAAGGTGATGTCATTGCTGATGACGATCATGTCCCGCCCCTCCGGATACTCCCGGGTCTTCAACCTCATTTTGAAGGCCACCATGCCCACCTGGGGACAACACAGATGCACAAAGAAAACATGTTTGTGTCTCTGGGGGGGAATTTTCGGAAAGGGCCATTCCAGCCAGGGTCTGGGCTCGGTGAGGTTCTACCTCGTTTCCGCCGGGAAGTCGGTTCATCTCCACCAGCTGGCCCTGGGGGTCCAGGACTAGTTCCGTGTATGTCAGGATGTCTTTGGGGTATTTGTCTGGGGAGCCCCACATTTTAAAGAGAGCCTGGGGAGAGGGGAGAAAAATAAAACCTGAAGTCATCAATTGGGAGGCACATTTTCTAGTGCTTTCTCTTTTTTTAAATCAGGAGCTACTTAAAGCACACGGAAAAAACATGCAGAATAAAAAATAACCCAGCTCCCAATCTCATGGTTTTGTCAAATCATAATGTTTCCTTAGTTGCATAAGATTAAAAAAAAAAAGATGTGGGTAGAGCCCCTAGCGTACCCGTCCTCACCCCATCCCGGACCCTCCTCCCCCATCTACCCCCAGGTAACCAGTATCCTGAATTTAGTGTCTACCCGTCCTCTGCATGCTTCCATGTTTTCTTTTCATCATGTCTGCATATGTTGAAAACATGTAGTATTATTTTGCACGATTTAATCTTTACATAAATGGTATTGCACTGGATATACATCTTTCTGCTACTTGCTTTTTCAACTCCCTGATGTGTTTGGGAGACATATCCATATTGATATGTTTAACTCTGGTTTATTCATTTTCCCTGTTATTCAGTTTCCCATGGAGTGAATATATCACAATTTATGTATTGAGAAATCTTTTTAGGAACATTTCCGTTGCTTCCAATTCTACAGTATTACCAATAACGCTGTGATGCACATTTTTATCGTCTCTTCTTATAAACACAGAAGAATTTCACCAGGTATATACCTAAGAGCGGCCATAGGGTTTGTGAAATTTCAGCTTTACTTGATATTATCAAATTGCTCTCAAATTTTTTGAAACCTTTTACAGTCCCGGTAAGACTGTATGAGAATAATAATTTGTTCCACACACGTGCCAATACTTAGTTTTGCTAAATATTTTACCATTGACCCATCTGCTGGGTGAGAAATTGTATTTTGGTATTGATCTGTACTTCACTGATTATTAGTGAAGTGAGTGCCTTTGAATACGTTTATTGACCAGATTTCTTTTTTGCCAATTTCCTATTTATTCCTGCCTAGCTTTTGAAATAGTTTTGCTTTTTATTTTTTATTTTTTCTAATCAACTTACAAGTTCTCTGTAGATAATTTAGATCTAACCCTTTGCTGGTAATAAGCACTGAAACAGGTTCTCCCAATCTGAACCTTGTCTTTTCTCTTTTGTATAAAGAACTGGAATTTTAAGGTCAAATTTACAGGTCTTTTCCTGATTACCTTGTGCTTTGAATGGGCTCCAACTGGCTTTAATCCTACTGAAGTTTACCTTTGTAACAGTAAATGAGGTAGAAATCAAACTTTATTTTTTCAGTTGGATAAAGTTTCTTGTCCCTTTCAGTGAAGTTTCTCTCCTTGACTCATGATCGCACCTCTGCATTCCACAAGGTTCCGTCTGCGAGTGGGTCAGAGTCTAGGCCCTTTCCTGTTGCAGCGTTCCACGTGCCCAGCTCCGCTATGATCACACTACACTGTATGAAGTACTGTGGCTTTAAAATAAGCAATGGCATCTGCTATGACGAGTGTTCTCGACTTTGTTCTTTTTCAAAATGGTTTTTGCTTTTCATGGGCTTCTGCTTTTCTTCATGAATTTTTAGGTTTTGCAAAAAAACTGGAATTATACTGAATGTCTTAATTTGAACAGAACGAATACCATTGCAATATTGAATCTTTCCATCATTCACGAGCATAATATATTGTCCCATTTATTTAGGCTTGAAGTATTTCAATTTCTTCCATAAAGGTCTTATGTGCCTCTTATTTGATTTATTTCTAGTAACCTTATAGTTGATCTTAATATTATAAGGTGGCATTTTTTACTAATTTTATTTTACAATTACTGATCTATGAGAATGCAATTAAGTTTTGTATATTGATCTTGTATCTAACAACCTTGCTTTGTTATCTAGTTCTACAAATTCTCTTGGATTTATTATATAGACCTTTATATAATCTGCAAAAAACCACCACTTTGCTTTTTTTGCTCTCCAGTCTTTACACCTTTTGTGTCTTTTTCTTATCTTAGTACATTGGCCAGGACCTCCAGTAAAAAATGTTGAATAGAATTGGTGATAATGGCTAATTATGTCCCATGCCCGTCTTTAAAAAGAATACCTCTAATATTTTACCATTAAATGTTATTAAGTTTAGGTTGATACATTTATCACTTTTTTAGATCTATTAAGAAATTTGTCCTGGCTGGTGTGGCTCAGTGGATTGAGAGCCAGCCTGCAAACCAAAGGGTCCCCAGTCAGAGCACCTGCCTGGGCTGCGGGCCAGGTCCCCAGTAGGGGGTGCACAAGATGCAACCACACATTGCATTGATGTTTCTCTCCCCCTCTTTCTCTTTTTCTTCCCTTCTCTCTAAAAAATAAATAAATAAAATCTTTTTTTAAAATTTAAGTTTTTTTCTTAATTAAAATGGTAACTTAAATGAACAGATTTCCTAATATCAAATCATATAAGCAGTTATAAGACAAACTCTTCTTGGCCCTGGCTTGGTAGCTTAGTTGGTTAGCACATCATCCCAACACGCCAAGGTTGCAGGTTCAATCCCCAGTCAGGACATATAGAAGAATCAACCAATGAATTCATAGATGGAACAACAAATCAATGTCTCTCTCTCTCCCTTCTCTCTCTCTAAAAATCAATAAATAAATTTTAAAAAAGATAAACCCTTGGTCTACATTTAAAAAAATCATTACTGGATTTTATTTGCTCATATTTTATGATTTTTGTGTCCATGTTCATAAATGAGATAACAAATTTCCCTTCTTCTAATGTTCTTATCTGAGATTAATACAAAGTTAATAATAATCTGATAAAATGAATTCAGAAACATTCTCTTTTTTCATTTCTGCTCTCTAAACAATTTGTATACGAAGGGAATTATCTATTCTTTGAAGGTTCGATAAAAATTGTTTGAAACCATCTGGTCCCAATTTGAGTGAATAGATTTTTTAAAACTATTAATTCAATTTCTTTAATGTTTATAATCTGTTTGGATTTTCTATTTTTTCTTGAGTCAGTTTTGGTAAAACACATTTTCCTTGGAAATTTTTCATTTCATCCAAGTTTCCAAATTTATGCGTTTTCTGTAGTATTTGGTTTCCTTTTCTAAAAGAAAGGGGATGGATTTGCCCCTAATTTGTCTGTTTCTTATCCTGTGTCCCTTGAAGTCAGAGGCAAAAGGATACAGACAATGACAATCTTACTCATAAAAGTTTCCATTTATTAAGCATCTACTAAATACTTTATATAAATTCCTCACAACAACCCTGTGAGCAGGGACCTGAAGCCCAGAGAGGTAAAGGAACTTGCCCAGAGACACACAGGGAGCAAAGGGCAGATGCAAGATTCAAGCCCAGGCCCGGGAGACTTTGAACAGCGGCTGTTCCCACTACGCTGCATCCCCTAGGCCGGAAGTGAATGATGCTCTGCTGTCTGCAGTGGGAGGGCTGTGACCTCGGCTTCATGAACGCCATTCACAAGGCAGTGGAGGGGAGTAACAGACCTCCACGCCCACTATGCCAGTGTGCTCAGGCTCTCCGAAAGGCCCTACTAGGTAAAAGAATAAAGTCATAGAAAAAATACTTGAAGGAAACACACTAAAATGTTATTGCAGTCATCGGTGGTGGACAGGTCACATATGGGTGACATTTTATTTGCTTATTCCTATTTTTCTGTGATTCCCAATGTACACTTTAATAATCAGAAAAACGTAACAGAATGTTATTTTAAAGCAGACTAAAAATCCCTCAGACGCAGTGACCCCGTCCTCTTCCTCATGGTCTACCCACCTTAGAATGGTCTCTGGCAAGTGGTAGGTACTTAATAAAGAAAAAAGACCGAAGGAAATGCATCAAAATGTTAAATAATCTGTCTTTAGGACGTGAAACTACGTGAGTCACTTGTCTCTTCCAGATTATATTCTGAAGTTTCTATATTATATTCCTTTATCATTGGGATGAAATTCATTTTATCTTAGAAAAAAATACTAGGAAGTCATTGTAAACATTACAGTTGGCCCTTCAACAACATGGGTCTGAGCTACACAGATCCATGTATAGGCAGATTTTCTTCAATAAATACTATAAATACATTTTTTCTTCCTTATGATTGTCTTAATTACATTGTCTTTTTCTAGCTTACTTTATTGTAAGAATAGAGTATATAATAAAAGTAACATAGAAAATATGTGTTAATTGACTATGCTATTGGTAAGGCCTCCATTCAACAGTAGGCTATCATCAGTTAAGTTCTGGGGGAATCAAAAACCACATGCAAATTTTCGACTGCACGAGGGGTTAGCACCCCTAACCCCCACGTTGTTTAAGGGTCAAATGTAATTTCTTTTTCTTCCTAAGGAGCCCCAGGCCCATGCCACGTCTCAGCCGCAGGACTTGCCTGCCTGAACAGTTCCGGAAAGTCGTACACGTAGGTGGTTCCCAGGGACTGGGCCTGGAATCGCTTGGCCTGAAGCAGGTCCTTGGTGACGTAGGGAGTGTTGATCAGCATCCCGTGCTGGGGTCCTTGTTTGTTGCCAAAGGAGTGAAACATGATCTGGACCAGAAGGAAAAAAACCAGAGCGTGAGGGAGGCACGTCTCAGAGAACCACACTCCTGCCGAATTTGTTTCTAACTGCTCCTCAATGACAATACAGTGCAGAGAGCAAAACATGTCCCGCTGCGTGATAAAATGAGTGCTGGGAGAGCAGATCTCTTTTCTGGAACCAGAACAAGGAGGGACAATGGGAGATGTGTAAACACAGCCCCCAGAATATAACTATTATAGTACTACATACACACACACACAACCAAACAAGAGCGCATCAAGACTGATGAAACCTGAATAAGGTCCGCACTGGAGTTAACAGCACTGAACCTGTGTTCATTTCCTATTTTGACAAGTCCTCTGGTTACATACAATGTTATCACTGGGAAGTTGGGTAAAGGGTACATGGGAACTTTCTGTACTGTTTTTTCTCTGTATTATTTTTACAACTTCTTGAGAATAATTATTTCAAAGTAAAAAAAATATATATATATATGCATGCAAATGGTAGTCAACAGCATACTTGATTCACTTTACAAAAGTCTGTTCTAAAACACAGTTGGGGGAAATACCTATTTCACTAAGTGAACCGACGTGGGAGGTGCATTGTAATAAACCACGGCACCCCACACCTCATCCTGAACACGGTCCTAGAATGCATTAAACACTGGAATCCTTTTCCTTCCCAGGGGAGTGAGCCACTGGGACGGAAAGGCTAACGTGTTGATCATAACGCTCAGCGGGGCTGCCCCAATCCGCATGGCAGGCGTGACAGCCACCAAACACTGTTTTCATCTACATGTCACTGGCCCAGGAAGCCTGCCTCTGCTTTGACGTGGACCTCCGAGACCCGGCCCAGCCTTACGTTTCCCGATCGGGGGTCAGTGACTTCTTTGTAGAGGCTGATGTCCAGGTAGTAGCCTGACTCGTTGGTGATGAACAGTCGGATGGGAATGGCGCTGCCGGTGGTGGTCTGGCGGATGTTGATCTTGACCTCGGCCTGCAGCACGCGGAGTTTCCACAACCTGCTGCCGTAGCGCATGACCATGGAACGCACCGACTCCTCGATCTGTGCAGATCACAGCGATTCCAGTTTCAGAGCCCGTTCCGCACACACTCAGGGTAGTTCTAGCGCGGATACTAATGGAATGCTGACATGCTGAATGCAAAATGCCTGGGACACAGTACGTACCCAACGACTGTTGGCTGATACTAACCAAAGGCACCTTGCTATCCCTTTAAAGCTCATTTTCTCATTTCGTCCTCATAGTTACCCAGAGAGGCCAGCATTTAGATGAGGAAACTGAGACTGGTAACTGATAGCTAGTGCTCCTAGGTGAGAGCCCCTTTACCTCCAGCTCAAGCCTATGCTTGTCTCTTCTGGGGAGTGGGTGGACTGGTAGACCTGGGGCACCAGCATGGGCCCTCTGCTCCCCACAGGTGCCAAGACGTCTTTCGTCCCACAATCACAACCGTAAACCCTGCCTGCCTACGAAGAAATGGCCAAAAGAGCCCCCAACAGAGCTTGGAACCAGGCGGAGCACAGACTTTTGTTCTGCAAGATATCTGGGGCATCCAAGCTGACTTTAAGTGGAGCACTTCGCGGACAGGAAACATCAGAACAGGGATAGTCGTAAGGGTGGTGGCTAAGATACGGCTCTAGAATTAAACACTGCAGGGTGTGTCTTCCACCTACAGCCACTGAGGGTCAAACTCACACGTGCACATCCCGTAACTCGGGTCCTGAGTGCCAGGAGACAATACCCAAAGCAGCAGCGGCATGAAGAGAAGAGGGTCCCCGGGAAGCCCACAGCCCAGTGAGGGCCCCCACAGGCGAGACCTTGTAGGGGTCCATGATGACGGTGGGCACGAAGTTGAGGAAGATGTGGTTGCAGTCGGTGCGCACGCTGGTGTTGTTGAACGCCACCTCCAGCTCGTCCATGGCCTCCAGGAGCAGCCGCTCACCCTCATTCTGCAGGTACTCGAAAGAGGCTTCCTGCCGGGAATGCGAGGGGCAGCTGCTCAGGCAGAGGACGCAGCGCTGCCCCAGCCGGCCTCAGGGAGGCCGGGGACACACAGACTCTCTCTCTCTCTGTCCCTGTCTCTCTCTCTTCTCCGAGCAGGTGCCAGGTGAGGACCGCAGAGCCCTGCCTGACTCCGAAGGTGAAGGGAAGACAAATGCTGCCTGGGGCGCCCGCCGTCTTTTCGTTTCTGCACCTGACACTTGGGTAACCGGGGCCTTGCGGGCCCCGGGGGGACGGCCCCTCCCAGAGTGAGGCAAGTCCTGGAGAGAGTGCACAACCCACCCACGGGCATGCCCTCGGACCGCAAACCGGCCGCTCCAGAGCGGTCCCCCAAACCCCTCGCCGATCAGCCTCTCGGGCACCAGGCCACCATGCCCCGGCCCTAATCACGCCAGGCGCAGGTTCCAGACACCGGAGACAGCCCCTGTGCCCCGGGCCTGAGTCCCTGTCTCACCCCCGTCCTCCCTGCGAAAACCCTAGCGCAGGCCTGCGCCCATCGCTCCCCGCTCCTCCGCCTCCAGACCGGCCCGGGGCTTCCCTGCGTGGCCCCCGTGGGGTGGCGAGCCCCCTCCTCTTGGGCACTGTGATTAACAAACAATCTCTTCGATGGCAACGGCCTCCTGACCCGCTGGCCTTATGGTGCCTCAGTAATAATGAAATCTATTAAAATATCTAGTTGATCGGAGGCAGCAAAACATGGAGATTAGCTTCACATTCATCGACAGGGAATTAGTAAAAAAAAAGAAAAAAATTTACACACATGGGTACATCCATGCAAGGAAAGAGCACAGAGTGGGTGATCTTCGTCACCATGGAAAGAGGTCTGCCTGTGGGTGACTGGCCAGTAAGAAAACACCGCTCTCCAGAGGGTGTGCCCTGTCTGTGACCTTCCACCTACAACGCTATGTATAGGAGTATGTCGCAAGAGGGTCACGAACAGGCTGGCCCCTCAGTGGCAAGATTCTGGGTCCCTTTCCTTGGTTTTTAAAAGTAGTTTTTAATATTACTTGAAATTTTTACAACATAATCACGCATTGCTTTTCTAAATGCAGAAGAAAATGATCACATATTCAATTGGCAAATATCACTTAGCAAACCTGTATCTTTCTATCCTCTCAACTCTCTTTTCATGCAGAGCCCCATGGGACTGAAGAAATAAATCCACATGCCACCAGCCAGGACACGAAAACAGGCCACTTCCACGTCCACCTGCCCCGCGCCCAGACGGGAGTGTCACAAGGGCTGGGCTGCGTGAGCCCGGGGCGCCTGGCGATCCCCGGCATGCGGCCCAGGGCCCGGCACAGAGCAGGAACTCAACATAGGAAAGGCCAGCACATGCGTGACAAGCTCAGAGGAAGAAAGGTCTCATGACACTTTACCTTTGTGATCAGGTCCGAGTGCCTGATGATGGCACGGATGAAGAACCGGTGGTCCGTCACTTCCACACCCTCCTTCACCCTGGCCGCACCCAGGTAAAGGTGCATCTTGTGGTTGGCGCAGGGCACGGCGGTCAGGTCGAAATTGCGCATGCGGCTCAGCTCCAGCTGGAAGGCCAGGGCAGGCTCCAGGTGACGGTAAATGCGATCTTCTGCAAACTGCAGGCCGACCAGAGAGGGAAGACAGACAGACACAGACACACCCCACGTGTGACACTGGGACCACGAGCCTGCTTGGTGCGCACCACGTCTGCAGACCCCGGTGTTTGCGAGTATAGCACTAGAAATGCAGTGGCCATTACACTGTCCGATTGGGAGCAACCCCCAGGGCTCAGGAAGTGTGGGGCTTCGCAAAGACCTAGAGGGCATGCGAGTCTGGGGCGCCGACTGGCAGAAGGCTCTCGGCTCCCGGTGAGCCCCCCGGCACACCCAGGCTGGTCCCTATCTGTCACAGTGCAGGGTATTTCTCAAGAAGTCAGTGACCCTTGGTTTCCTCATGGAAATTGGTCCTTAAATAAAGAAAAAGCAGCTGATAGTGCTTGAAACTGAACTAAAGAGGGAAAAAAAGAAGAGAAAGGATGGGTCTTAGCTAGAGAGGTAAGGCTTTGGATAAATTATAATACAAAATTCTGAATTCAGTGGAGTCTTGAATCTATCTCTTTAATTGCCTGAAAACGTCTTTATAATAAAAATATCTTTGCTGGATATAGAATTCTAGGCTGGTATTTTCCCTAATGGGAACAAGGCCACCTGTTTTAGAACAGGGATAAGCAACCTTCTCCCTAAAGAGTCAGAGGGTTGACAAACCATAGGGTATATCATGACTACTCGATTCAGTGGCTGAAGCAAAGAAAGTCCAGGCTGACCGTATGTGACAAAATGGGTGGGCCATGTTCCAGACCTTGTTTATAAGAACAGGAGGCCAGCCGGCAAGCCATAGTGTGCCAATCCACTGTTCCAGACGATCATAAGAAACCCAAGTTGGGAAGACCATCATTGAGTCACCAGCAAGAAGAACAATTATTTATGTGAAAGAGGCACCGGTAGGTAGTGAAGGCTGAGGTGTGGGAGGCATGAGGTCTGAGCTCCACATGGAATTTCAGGGCTCTCCTCGGAAATATAACCCCAGAGGAAGGTGGGAGTCTGCATGAAAGTTGCATGTTCTAGAATACAGGGCTGTCTTGAGGACTGGGATAGTCTTCCTGAACATCAAAGATGTCAGGGAAGAAAGAACAATACCACTGCTTTTGGTCATACCTCATCTCTTGCTCTGAAGGTGAAAAACTTGGGAAATTCTTTCTGCAAAAAGAATTCATACAAAAGCCAATTAAATCAAGCAAGACTTGTTCAAATACCTGTACACTTGTTTTTAACGATAACCCCATCTGCTTCTAGAATGAGTCATTTGGAAAGCCATCTCTTCGCTAGCAATCGACCACTCACTCCCACCCCAGTCTGCAGAGTAAACGTCAAATAAAGGGCACAGGGGCCTGGGGAAGGAGAAGACGCTTAGGATGCGCTGAGAATCGGACTGACCTCCTGCGCAATCAGAAACGTGATTCTTCGGAGTCCGTAGTCCACAAGGATGTTTTTCTGCAAAAAAAGCCAAAAACAATAGAACCATATTCAGCCACAAAAAGGAATGAAGTCCTGATATGTGTTACCACGTGAATGAGCCTTGAAAACATTGTGCTGAGAAAGAAGCCAGTCACAAAAGACCTCATACTGTATAATCCCATTTATATGAACTATCCAGACTAGGCAAATCCATCAAAGCCATAGAATCAGAGAGTAAATCAGTGGTTGCCTAGGGCTGAGGCGGAAGAAACGTGGGGAGTGACTGCTAATGGGGAGAGGCTTTTGCAGGGTGATGGTAAAATGTTTGAAAATATAATGGTTACACAACTCTATGAACACACCAAAAATCCTGATTTGTACACTTTAAATCGGGGAATAGTATGCTATGTGAATTATATTCAATGTTATATTAAAATACACATTTTTTTCAAACATTTCATGAAATCTTTCATGAAATTGGCAGGGGACAATGCTCTATGAAACACAAAAAGAAAAGGATGAGTAAACAATTTCATTTATATAAAATTCAAGACGGAACTCATCAATGTTGTTAAAAGTCAGGATGGTGGTCCACCATCTCTGCGGGGAGAAAAGGAGACCTGGAAGGGGCTTGAGAAGGGGCAGGGACCTTTGTGTCTTGATCTCAATGCTGGCTACCTCTGGGATTCACTCTGAAAATTCACCAGGCCACACATTTATGACCTGGGCACTTTTCCGTATGTTTGACTTCAAGAAAGAGTTACCCAAGGAAAGTACAAAACTGTTTTTAGTTGCTCTCTAAAGGAAGTAAACACGATTACATAGTTTTATGGAGAAAGAAAAAACCCCAGAGGAAGGTAAGATTATTGTTTAACTTGTCCACATGGTTAAGGAAAATTAGCAGGGGAAATGAAAAGTCAGCCCATTTCAGAAACTGGCTAAGTAGACACACACACGAGAATACCTAATGCAATACAGGCTTGAAAGAAAACCGGAGAAAGGGCAAAATGAAGAGGATTCTTATGTGGGAAAACCGGCCTGGTCACCTGGAGCCTGATTTTTGGTTCTCCACTGCAGGTGTGCACAGATGTGGGCATGCGCATGCGTGAATATATGTGTGTGAGTGTGTGTGTGTGTGTGTGAATGCACGCGTATGCGTACGCCTGCTTAATGCAAGAAATTTTTAATCATAGAAATGCATAAAGCTCTTTCCTTTTCTCCAGCCCGCCTCTTCTTGGTATGATCGATCGGTCTACCTACCTATCTCAAATATACTTTATTGGCACAGCGGTACACCCACTCGATCTCTCCCAGCTTGCAGGCACGGGTCGGTACTCAGAGAGCTGTCCCGTCCCCCGGCCGGGCGGCACGCCAGCGCAGCCGTCCGCCTCGCAGGACCCCTCACTGCCCGCACGTTCCACAGGAGGTCCTGACACCCCCCCCACTGCCCTCTCCGGTCAGAACCACTCAGTTCCCGAGCATCATCAGGTTTGGCGGGATGGGCAGGCGAGCTCCCAGTCAGCTCGGACGCTCCCTTTCCTGCACAGCGGCTGCCAGGCCGAAGCTCCAGCAAGGACACCAGTCATGTCAAGGAGAAGCAGGCTCGGGGGGAGATATGCCAAAACTGCCACAGTGGCCGCTTCTAGATGGTGAGGCTGTGGGTTTTGTTTAAAAACCTATTTTCAGATTCGTCTGCACCTTAAACAGGGTCTACAATGAACATCATTCGCTGTTCAAGCGAATTAACCAAGCCAAGGCTTAAGTAAATCACTAACGATGATGTCGTTAATCTTCGTGGTGTTAATGACGACTCAGCACAAGACCAGGTCCTTTGAGAGACATCACGTCAGAGGGGGTAAGAGGTGTCCAGTCCACCAGGACAATACAGGGAATACAACAGGTAAATAGACTAAAAAGCAAGAACTGAAATCTCCCAAGTAATCTTGAAGTTTAGACCAAGCCAGGAGGGTTGAGAACTAACAGCCAGACAGTGTGGCTGGTAGATTTGATTAATTATGAGCTTAGAATCTTAGCATCCCATTTTACAGATGGGGAAACTAAGGATCAGAGAGGTATAGCAACCTGCCTGAGGTCACACAGTGTCTTCCTGCTGTTTCTATGACTGACACCTGCCAAGCTGTTCCACACCTCCTTCCAGCTGAGATCCTTGAGCATATATAACAGCTGTCCCTACTGCCAGGTGAGAATATAGGCTGACAATGGCCACCACATGTTTACAAAAGCAACCTGCAGTTGTCTGCATACACAGATGTCAAGTAACCATTTTAAAATTGTGACTTTTCTGGGTTATCCCAACAAACATTCCACCAAACCCAGAACTATTATTGATTGAATGCTGTCTTCTGTGCTACGTGGTATATAAATTCAGTCATTTCATCATTGCAATGCCCTGGGAGGGAGAAATGCCAGCCCCGTGTTATGGGGAAGAAGCTGAGGCTCTGCCACATTCAGCCACCTCCGCCCAAGGTCACCGGCAACAAGGAGTAGCAGAGCTAGGGTGGGGAGCCAGGCCTGGGGCTCTGAAACACTCAGCAGGTCTCAAGCACAGGAGACACCTCCCTAAGATAGCCACCCCTTCTCCTCCAGGGACCCAGAACCAGAGGCACGCCCAGGGTACCTTGGACTGTACGAAGGTCCGCAAAATCGGCACCAGCTCCTCGTCTTCCAGGTGGTCAGCGCACTGGATGGCCACATTCAGGATGTGGATGGGCTCTTCTCTGAGGTTCTGGGAGAGAAGAACAAGGGCAGGCGGTCAAGGACCTGGGGACCCAGCCCGCCCCCTCTTTGGCTTGCTCCTCACTTACCTTGCTGTCCTCCTCAGAGTACAAGGACGTCTGAGCCTTGCTGAAGAGGGGGGTGTCCTCGGGCACATTGGCGAAGCAGGAGATGACTTCATCAAAGTTCCTGGGTGCACAGCACAGAGAGGGAAGGCTGAGGGGCTTGCTCCTCCATGGTCCTAGGTCAGACCCAAGTCCTCCCTTTTTCCCAACCACCAGTCTGCGAGCTCATTCTATCCCTGACCAGGTCCAAGGCACCGCCGATGGGGTCTTTCCCAAAAGGGAAGAGCCCATGTGATCAGAGATCATGAATAAAAGAAAGGCTGTCCAAACTCTGCGGCATCAGCTGGGCCCCCCTTTTACCAGCTGCAAGACCCTCCTCACCAATTGCACCTCATGGTTCTGAGTCAACTGAGAATAATTAGAAGCAATCACTACAGCTCCTAGTGCAGTTGTGAAGAAAGAAGATATTCTAAGCACAATGCATAACACGCAGGAACAGGTTGAAAAGCACAATAACTACAGTAGGACTGATCGCTGACATTTATTGAGCATGTTATTTACATGTCAATATTTTAAATACAATACTCAAATGTACTACCTCATTAAATTTCCCTGGTGACCCTAGGAAGGTCCTTCTTTGATTCTCATTACACAGATGAGAAAACTAAGGTACAGAGAGAGAGATCGAGGAATTTGCTCCACGTCCCCCAGTTAGGACATGCAGAGCAGTTCTCATGCAGGCAGGCCGACATGACAGCTGATGCTCTGGGCTGCGGTATTATTAACCTGTTATCATTCATTCTCTGTGCCTTGCGCCTGGGCTACCCCCACCCTACGTGTCGCATGAACAGCTGGGAGTCAGAGGAAGCCCCTTGGGTGTCTGGGAGGCCGGACCACGCTGCGTACCTGGTGAATTCCTCGAATCTCCTGAAGGCGACCATGGCGCCCATCCGCTGGCTCAGTGGGGAGAAGCCGCAGTCCATGAAGAGCTCTGTGCTGTGCCTCAGCAGGTCGGGGTTGGTGACGCTGATGGGCACAGCCATCCTGCAGGGGGGTGGGGGGTGGGGGATGAGGCTGCCACTTGCAGATCTGGCCCAAGAGCTGTTCCTATTCTGGAGACTTTGGCGGGCCAGCGTTAGAGCTCTCCCCAAAAGTGGGGCGTAAAATTGGAGGCGGAGGGGACGGAGGTCAGGGCCAGGGGCTGCGCATGAAGAGCTCAACAAGTGAATGAATGAATGAACGAATGGATGGATGGATGAATGAATGGATGGCGCATGCATGAAAGTCTAGCCCCAACAGGGTCCCCAGGTGAGCACGACGTTGTGAAGTCAGCCAAAGAGACTGACCACTCTCGGCATCAGTTTCCGCCAGAAGCCTGGTGAGGAACAGGCTCGGTTCTGAGACACCCCACGCCTCTGCTCTGCTAGTCCCTCCCCAGCTATCACACCTGCCACAGTGGGAGAGTGATGTCTCTGATGTCTCCCCAGACATACTTGCTGGGTTCCTCCAGAGACAGGATGACAGTGGTCAGGGAGAAAAGAAACATAAGCCACCCCCGGGATGGACCGCCCCATGCCTGTTTGGGTGGGAGGAGGGCAGCATGAACTGGAATTCCACCACGCAGGTGCCGTCCGGGAGCTGCCGGTGCTGCAGGCTGTTCAGCTCGTAGGCGATGTAGCCTCTCCGCACGTAAACCTAACGGAACAGAAGCGCAGGGGACGTTCTTGCAGGGGGTACCACAGTGTGCCCTCAAAACCTGAGAAAACTCCAGCTGGAGAAATGATCTCTAAATTATCTCTAAGTGGTCATTAAGGGCAAATTTGCTCACATTTCAGATGTAATGGGCTAGAGAGTAAATATTTTAGGCTTTGCGACATGTATCATCATCTCTATCACAACTACTCAGTTCTGCTGTGGTAGTAGGGAGGAAGCCCCAGACCACAGGGAAATGAACAGGCATGGCTGTTCCAATAAAACTTTATTTATAAAACCAAGCAGGGGAACGGATGTGGTCCTGCAGGCTGCAGTTTCCCACCTCCGGCTGCAGAGTAGGTCTGTCCAACAGAAATGGAACACAAGCCGCACATGCCATTTTAAATTAATTTTCAATTTTCCGGTAGCTTCTTTTTTTTAAAAAAAAAAAAGCATAAGGTTAAAATAAGTTGAATAATAACTTCATTTTGTCCCCAACACCTAAAATATCATCATTTCAACCTGTAATCAATATAAAAAATTAATGAGGCATTTTAAATTCTTTCTTCATACAAAGACTTTGGAATCCCGTGTGCATTTTATACTCAGAGCACAGCTCCGTTTAGAGTCAACACATTTCAAGCGCTCACTGGCCACACGGGGCCAGTGGCTGCCACACTGGCCAGCACTGCTGCGGAGCTGAAGCGCTGGGAGCTCTTTAACCAGTGAGGGAAAGTGATGCTGGAGCTGGCACGGGCGGCGCCGCGCTGTGGGAGGGGCCGCTCCCACTCACCTCCAAGGACGCCATGCACACGACTTTGTTAGCGTGATAGAAGAAAGCAGGCAGCACGTCAAATATGGTTGTTTCTGAGAGTATCAATTTCTACCGGAAGCGGGAAGGGAAAAAAGAGAAAAGTAGATGTTAACACGTTTTGACCACCAATAGGGTGAGTGGTGGTGGGGAGCGAGGGGGAGAAGTTGGTGGGGTCATCACCAAACGCTGTCAGCGCCCCAGGCCTGTCAGGTCTGAGCGCGGAAGCAGCTCTGAGCTGCCTGCACCCGTAGGCGCAGAGGGCGCCCCTGAAAGCTTGTCAATGAGGCAGCGAGGGTGGGGGTGGGGGTGGGAGGGGGAGCCCTGGGAAGATGAAGCTGTGACTCAGTCACATGGGGCTTGCAGCTTCCAAAGCTCCGCCACACCTGAATTTTTAAAGTCATCCTTCCCAGTGAGCCTCGCTGCCTGAGACTCCCAGGGCTCCGGTGAGCCACACGGGACCAAGCCGCTGGTGTTCGTGACTGGGCCCTGCACCCGGGCGCCCACACGCCGAGGGCTGGGGGGGCTCTGAGGAAGGTGGGGGGATGGAGACAGCCTCACCTTGAGGTTTTCCGGGCAGAACTGGTGGCCGTATCTGTCGATGGCAGACAGGAAAATGGACTCCACCTGGTTGTGCCTCAGCTCGTAGGAGGGGAGGTGGGAGGCGATCAGGACCTGCGGGGGAGCGGGCGGAGGGGATGGGGTGAGGCGGCCTCACAGGGCAGAAGCCAAGCGCTAGGCTTGGACCCAAGTGGCAGCTGGGGGCTGTGCGCGGTGGAGGCCGAGCATGGCGGGGAGCACGGCAACCCCCGACCCCCACGCACTGTGGGGACGTTGTCCCACGGCCCTACCTGTCTGGCTCGGAGGGCCACTTTGCAGTGCTCGCTCTTGCTCAGCTGGGTGAGCTCATTGAGGATGGAGGTCAGCTCCTCTGACAGGGAAGGGTCTGGGCCACAGAGTTCGTCCTTTGGGGGACAAAACAGAATCTAGGTGACTTTTGTCCTCCAGGAGGAAGCATGCCAGCCCTCATCCTCCGCCAGGGGTGTGGCTGCCCCGGCAACCAGGCAGCTTCCCGGTCCTCTGAGGACACCCGGTAGATAGCCCGATGCACATACCCTCACCCCTTCCCACCAAGCACCCCTCTCCATTCATTCATCCACCCCGCAAAATGAGCCCTGGACACCTGGTAAGAAAGAAAATATATCTAGGTCTGTGCCTGCATCGCTCCTCATGGCCAGAGATAGGGAGCCACTTACTGTGTTCCGGGCAAGCAGCGAGACCCTTGACATCATCTCCCCAAGTCCTCCGAACGCTTTGAGGAGTTGCCATCATGATCCCCATTTTACAGATGAGGAAGCTGAGGCTCAGAGAGGCAATACGCCATGCCCCAATCATGGCAGCAGTGCCTGCCACGCAGCACGTGCTTTGGAGGTGAGTTACAACCTCTCGCAGGGGCTGACAAACTCCGCCCACTGCCTGGCTTTGTATCAGGACACAGCCAGGCACTCGCTTACACTGTACGGTGGCTGCTTTGAGTGGTCCAGACAGAGACCATGTGACCCGCACAATCTAAAATATTTATTCTTTGGCCCTTTCCAGAAAAGTCTGCAAACCCTCAAGCTACCACCCACAACGTGCCCCCCCCGCCCCCCCCGACTCTGGGTGCCCTCTTGTGCTTACAATCAACATGATCACCAGCTGGTTCTTCTTGGCCACCTGCGCATGGGAAAAGATGCAGTCCAGCACCTGGGACATGTCTGGCTTCAGCTGCTCCCTGAGGTTTATCACACACTTGTCGTAATGGGCTGGAGGGAGACAAAAAGCCGCACGGGAGTAAGGCTCGGGCCCCTCCTGCCCTGTGGGCTTGTCACCAGTGCCAGTGGTGACTCTTGCCTTGTTGGAAATGGTGCTCGACTTGCAAATATCTTTTCAGGAGATCCAACACCACCGCCTTCATGTAGCCACGGGTCCCGCTGCGGTATCTGGGGAGGAAGGGAAGGCACCTTAATGATCAACTCCACTCCTTGGCATGCCTGAGTATCTATAGCCAGAGCTTTTAGGATTTTCAGAAAGAAATAAACTAACAAAGTATATGGAAGATGCACATCGCGCCCCCCTCAATCCTGAGGCCTGGGAGGGATGTGCGAGTTAAGAGCATTTGCACTAACTTTTTAGGACAAAGAAGGCAGTGTCTTGTCCAAGGTCAACCTCAAACCGGAGGCCAGGCCTGAGCCTTTGGATGGCCCCTGTCCCACCTCCAAAGAGGAGGGAAACCCTTACAGAGTCGGGATGCTGGAAAAGGTCAGCCTTGCATGCACGGGTGAAAAGAAAATTGTTCAATTAACCATCCAATGTGTAAGGACTGTTTGCAAAAAAACAACACTAGAAAAACATTTAACAAACGATCTCTGTGCAAATTTCGCATAAAACCAAATTTTAACCTGGATGTTCCCTAAAACATTTCCTTTTCTGGATCATTTCTGAACACAGGCAAGAGAGGTTATTAGGAGGTGGGACACTGGGTTTTAAAGTTGAAACCAGCTTAATCCCAACACCACCGAATAACAACAAAAGAGAAGAAGAACCCACAACACCCACTGAATCAAATGTGATTTCAAAAATACACAACATAGGACAGAGCTTTGATATTTATGTTCAACACAGAAAAATCTGCTAGGGAGTTTGATTAATTTACCATTGGTTCAATTCTTCTAGGTGTTTCTTTGAAGCTAAAGGATGGGTTTAAGGTTAACGGGTGAAGTCTCCTGGGGAGGGACTGTTCCCCGGCCCTCCGCTGTGAGACTCTCTCTGAGGGGAATCCAAACTAAGACCTCCTTTATCAGCTGCAATACTAACTATTGTCACTAAGAGTCCCTATGAGCCAGCAAGTCCCCTGAAAAGAGCCATCTCCTGCATTCTCTGCACTTCTAATAGTTTCTAGACCATGGAACATGTGAGCTGAATTAACTTGTTCCAGTCTGCAAATGCTTCCATTCTGTCTTTATAAGCAAAGTTTTCTTGCTGGGTAGATTCTTCAACAAAGAGGCAGGTTTTGTTTTTGTTTTTGGTTTTGTTTAATCATCAGACTAGTCTTCCCTGTGCAACAGCTACTCAAGAAAGAATACAAATTCCCCATCAACCCCTCTTTGTGATGGTGTCCCAAAGCTGCAACGATAACTTGTAAAGTCCCTTGTGGCATACGAAGCCATTTTGTCCCATTGTCCCATAATCAAAGCTGCCACAAGACACTATCAGCACTATCAGCACTGCACAAAAATTAATCCACTCAGTCCTGGCCGGGTAGCTCAGTTGGTTAGAGCATCGTCCTGATATGCCAAGGTTTCAGGTTTGATCCCCAGTCAGGCACATATATAGGAAGCAACCAACGAATGCATCAATAAATAGAAGAGCATATCAATGTGCCTCTCTTTCTCTAAAATCAATAAATTAAAAAAGAAATTAATCCTCTTAGAACTCAGAATGCCTTATTGTGCGTGAGGTGTTTTTATTCCCCTTTTATGAACTGGCAAACTGAGATTCATAGAAGTCAAGTGCGTTGCCCGGGGTCCCAGTGTTAGGAATGGCTATGCCAGGGCCATAATCAGGGTCCCTTGACCCCATGTGTTGTCCCCTGGTTCAAGCCTGCCCTTGCGAGAACCCCAGAGCACCACCCTGGTGACACACATGGGACGGCTCTGCATGACAACCGCACCCCACGGAGAGCCCGCGACTCACCTCTGGACCAGCTGCACGATGCTCTGCGTGTTCATGAAGAAGACCTCCCGGTCGGCCTTCCGCTGCAGTGTGGCCGCGTGGCAGTCCAGGATGGTGGCTATCTGAATGGGAAAAAGGACAGGCCTGTCCACTCACTACCGCACAATCCAGTCGCCACACAGAAGTCACCCAAAGGACCCACCGCAGGCTCACGGGGAAGTCCCACCTGAGGCTCATTTGAAAAAAGAAAATCCCAGCCCCAAAGCCCTCGGGCCACCCAGAGACAGCCCCGTTCACCCCTCAGTGCGTTGCCTGAGGAATCCAGGAACCAGAATGTCCTCAATCCCATAAAGACCCGCACCCATTTGTACTATGCCTCTCCACAAACACGGAAGCCCCGGCAAAAGAAGGGAAGGGGATTTCCAAACCCAGGGAGCACAGGGGTGCGGGGTGGGGAGGGGTCCTGTTTTTATCATTGGTTTCAATGGTACTGACATATTGTTTTTGGCAATAAAAATATTTTTAATGACTGGGAATCGAACCGCTAACCTTTTGGTTGGCGGGCCAGCACTCAAGTCCACTGAGCCACCCCAAAATATTTTTAATGAAAAAAACCTGCATCAATGACACATTCCTCAAAGGTCCACACACATACTTTTCTCAATTGGGGTCCTTTAGAGGTTTGCTTTTATTTTTTAGTTAATATATAATTCATATATAATATGAATTCCTCCCCCTTTAAAGTACAGTTAACTTAGTGGTTTTTAGTATATTCACAGAGTTGTGCACACATCACCACTATCTAATTAGACAGCATTTCGTCGCCCTGAAAGGAACCCAGTCACCACTCCCGACTGCCCCTCCTGTTCTCCATGGATCTGCGCGCCCCGGGCAATTTCATGTAGGTGGAATCATGTAACACGTGGCCTTGGGTGACTGGCCTCTTTCACCTACCATTTTCCAAGATTCTTCCATGTGGCACGAATCAATATGTCATTCCTTTTTACAGTGGGACAACAGTCCAACTTCTAGAGAGGCTGACCTCTGGCAATGACCTTTGTTGACCTCCAGCTGCCCCAGTCACTAAGATGTGGGTAGGGGAATGAGGATGGTAGGTGGCCCTTCTAAGCAGACAGAGGGCATGAAGGGACACTGGCAGAGGGGCCGCTTCTAAACGCAAATTGTCTTAAAATGCTTGATAAAAGCAACCAAAAAAAAAAAATGAGGCCAATGTAGAATTGTTATTTTTATGTTACCCCGAAATGGTTTCCATTTTAAAAAAATACTACGTATACATACGGTCACAAGATTATCAGCTTACAAAGCTGGAGAGAGAATCTAAGCTACAAACTAGCAAGAAACACTCACAGCTTGCTCTATTATTTCAGCCTGCCTATCTCTGGAAACCGTTCGCTCTATTTGTACCAACTGCTACTCCAACTCTGAACCCGAGTGTTACGGAGCGAGGCCTGATGACTGCTCATGTGCATCTGGACACCTGCTGCGTGGGCTGGCGAAGATGCTGGGCTTCTGCAGGGAAGGCTCAGAAGAAAACTCTCAGCCCCAACATCTCGGGCTGTGAGTGGGTTTCATGAAGCCCGACTCAATCAGGGAACAGCTGCCCAGACTGACCAGGAGCTGAGGAGCCACCTGGCTCGGCACGGGCACCCCAGTGGGGCAGGGTGGGGGGCACCCACCTGCTGGCTGGGGAACTGGCAGAGCACCGAGGTGATGTTGCTGGCGTACTGGGCCATCACCCTGCGGACCGACTTCTCCACGGGGCCGGGGATGCGGCCCGATACACTGGTCATGATCTCCTGCAGCTCCAGCAGTGGCAGCGACGGGTGTCGGAGGGTCATCATGAGCTTCTGCACCCACTCCTTCAGCTGCAGCAGGGACCACAGCACTGGCTGCAGGCCCTGCAGGGCGTGGGCACCGCCACCCACCACAGGGCGCCCAACCCTCTGAACCCATCCAGGCCCCATGCACTCGAGGGGCCGACCCTCTGGACCGAGTAGACTCTGGAGTAGTCCAGAGCGGAAGGGTCCCCTGACCACAAGAGGGTACCCAGTTTCCCCACCTAGGAAGCCCCCACTCGCCCCTGCAGGCATCAGAGCACTAGTATGGTGTGAGGGTAAAGCAAAAGGCCCTGTGAAGAGCTGATGTCTGTTGGACACTGAGTGACAGACCTTTGTTTGCACCTTCTCATTTGATCCTCAGAAACCACCCTACAAAGTAGGTATAATCCTTTGTCCCCATTTTACAGATGAGGAGGCTGAAACACAGAGAGGTTAAGGAAGTTATCCAAAGTCACCCAGCTGGTACGAGCAAAGCTGGGGTGCTAACTCGGGCCAACAGGCTCAGAGGCTCCAGCAGCTGCACGGCACCACTTCTGTAGTTGAACTGTTGATGGGTTTTGTATGAAAAAGATAATGGTGCCAACCTCGTAATTATGAGGTTTAAAACTAAAATGCTGCAAGCACTAGCAAGTGCAAAGACTAAACAAAGACTGCAATGAAAGCAATCACAATTAAGCAGCATAGCAGAGGGGTTAAGAGCATGGACTCTGAAGCCAGACAGTCAGGGTTCAAATCCGGTCATTGGTTCTTTAAGGGTGAAACACAGCAAGTGTCTCAGCCTCTCTGTACCTCAGTTTCCTCACCTGTAAAATTGAAGTAGTAAGAGTTCCTACCTCACAGGTTGTTGGGAAGATTGAAAGACAATAAATGTTAAGTGCTTAGAGCAGTAGCTGACATGTATGAGACAAGGGTTGGTCATTTTTATTATCCCAGGATTCGCTATTTTCAGATTGAAAGTGATTGCACACAGTTTTACCACTAATGATGTTGGGCTTAGTGTCATGGGTCTTGCACGGACGTCTGCAAACTTGAGAACCTGGTTCTCTAAGGAGCGAGCAGACAGAAGAGCCCTGGGATGGGGACCCGCAAATAGAGTTGCAGTTCCGGACAAAGTGCCGTCCTCCTTCTCCCTTTAAAAGGGGGGCCCACGTGGACTTCTTTCTTAACTTACTACTCGAATGTTCTCAGTGCTGAGCTGAACTAAACTCTGAAAAACCAGCAGTCACTTTTACAACAGTTTATACCCAAAGTGAAAAGTGCCCTCATGGGCACAATCGAATTGAGGAACGAGTCTTTTATAAAAACAACAGAGGACTGACTAACCATTTTTGGGCTCTTACATCAATAGAGGCCTCTGATCGCATAGAATAAATCCTTCCAGCTCATCACCTGGACCTACATACATGTTAAGAATACACACCAACCCTTCACACGTGACCTACCTTTATGCTAAAAATAGGCTCCGGCAGACAGTAGCCGTTCATGATGTTAATCAGGTTTTCCAGGACGCTGTGGAAGACCTGGTTCAGTTTCTCCCCCATCATGGGCAGAGTTGGCTGGGGAGGGAGCTCTCCTATGAATGGCTTGGCCTGAGGAGACACAACAAGAGCCAGAGGTCAAGGCCCCCGTGGCCTCCTGACTGAGACAAGCCGAGGGCAGGGCAGATCAACAAATATGCAATATCCTTAGGATGAAGCCGGAAAAAACAAACAGAAGAAAACATATTGGAAAGTTAAAATTGTTACATTCACACTCCTATGCGGTTTTCCAAATCTTCCCCTTTGCAAATATCATCATAAACTATGTCTCCCAAGTAATCTTGGAGGGGTTAGACTTCTTTGTTTTGCTCTGCTTTCTCAGGAAGATGAGCTCCCTGTTTTCTCTATTTACTCTCAGTCTCTTGAGTCCCAAAGATAAACTCCTAACAGGACAAAAATTTATAGGACCCTTATACAAATGTACCTGATTTTTATAAATCGTAAACATGTAGCCTTAGAAGATCAAAATATTAACTCCCCAACAGGGCAAGATGGCCTTAATGTGCCTGTTTGTCTATGAATTCATATTATAATCACCTACTGACTGCCTACTACACGTGAGGCGCCGGGCTCGGGAGGTTTGGGACATCCAATCTGCTGTCCGGGACCCCTCAACTTCCTGCTCCCCACCTCCGGCCCCTCCCCTCCCCTTGGCCTTGAAGAGCTAACTGGAGGGTCTTCCTCTCCGCAGTCAGACGCTGGCTTCTCCCCCTGGTCTCCCTCAGCCGGGGCCAAGGGCAGTCTGCCTGGCTGGACGCACTGAGCTGAATCGCAAGGGCTCACGTCCCACAGGCGCATGCGACCCTGCAGGCCTGGCCTCCTGCACCTGGCCCGGGAGAGCCTGCAGAAAGGAGGGGGCTGCCGGCGCCTGGGGACCTAAAAGGCCCAGCCTTTGCCTAGCTTTGGGAACCCCCAAGAGAAAAGAATGAAAAGAACGAGGAGAAAACAAGCAAAACTCGAACAGAATCATCTGCAGAAAAGAAACAATTTGGTTTTTAAAAGTACTTTTCTAGCTTTTTTTCCTGGGCGTATGTACTAATAATCATAGAGAAAAGGACAATGCACAGATGAATGACAGGCTACCTCCTGTCTGCATGGGTCCCTTAGAAGGGTGTAAACAATTCTCAAGACCTGCTTTTTTATGAGCACCCACTATGTCCCCAGCACGTTTGAGTAAAAGCTCACGGAAGGGGAGGGAGTGAGCTGTGAAAACCTCTGCGCGAGGGTCCGCCCAGGCAGAGGGGGCAGGTAGCAGGTGCGGGGGTGGGGGGGCTGGCCGGTTTAAGTAAAGGGGGAAAACGAAAGAGGATAAAGCCGAAGAAAGTGGGGACAGCCTGTCTGGGGTCTTAGAGGTCATCAGAAGGACTTGCGTTTTATTCTAAGCAGGACGGAGAGCTGCTGAGGGATTTGAGCGAAGGAGGGCATGTTTGCTCCCATCACGCTGGATGCGGGGACAACGCGGGGAGGCAGGGGAAGGGCCGGGAGCCCCGCATCTGCTCAGCCCACCAAACAGGCAGCTGGAGGCCATGGGTGCACCTGAGCCAGCTGGGGGCGGTGCCAGGTGCTACGTACCGGGTGCACTTTAGAGGGATCGTCGAGCTCCAGCCTGGCCACCACGCAGCCCACTTCCAGCACGGCCCCCGGGCGCTTGATGTACTTCACCCGGCCACTCTCCTGCACGTTCAGGGTCATGATCATCTTCATCACCTGTTTTGCACAAAGAAGAAATGAGACAGAGTCCACCAGGGCTGGCCTGTGTGTGTGACACCGAGAGTCACTCTGAGCTAGTAACTCTCTCACTTAAATGGAATGGCTCCCTGGGTGGGGTTCAAGCTGAAAGGGTAAGAGAGAACTAGCAGCTCCCAAAAGCCAGGTGCCGTTCACAAAATCCTCTCCGCCTGCAAAATCAGCTGAGGAGGTAGGATATATGGGCCCATTTTACAAATGTGAAAACTGATCTTTATTTTGGAAGTGAAGTCTCTCTCTCTCGGAACTACAGTTCAAGCATCTGATGGGTGTGATGAACACATATATTCCTACAATGTGGTGTGTTTTGTGACCTGCCGCTTTTCTCCAGGCTGCAGGGAAACCCTCTGTGAAATGAAGAAGGCGTCACACAGTACGGCCGGTCAGCAGCCCATTTCCGTGGCCTAAGCGCCTGGCTACGTGGATGTGATGAGCTTTGTTACTGCGGTGTGGGCGGCAGACCCCCAGCATGGTGCTCCTCTGGCTCAGCAGGTCACAGCGGGGGCACCCGAGCCAGCCAGGCCTGGGCTGCACCCTACACACTGGCTGTCTTAGGAACTCACAGCCAACAGCCCAGGTAAGAGGTGAGGACCGTTTGCAGAAGCAACGCTGAACAGCCTTCCTTTAGGGAGCGGGGAGTGGGGAGCAGGAAACAGAGAGAGAGGAGTCTGTGCTCACCTCCATCTCGGCGTAGCTGCCCCCAGCCTCCACGTGGCCCTCGTCCTCCACCGTGTACTGCATCAGCTTCCCAGCCGAGGGGGCTCTCAGCACCGTGGGGTCATTCTCCTTCTCAAACACACACGTCTTGTTGCCGATGGTAATCCGGTAACTGGGGAAGAGGCGGAGCGGGGAGGGGGGAGAGTGGGGAGGACCACCCCGCCAGCGTGCCGAGCCCGGCTGTCTGCAGGCACCCCTGAGAGTCACCCTGGGTGCGGTGCAGGCGACTCCACTTTCCCAAATGGTGGCGTTTGACAGTCACCACAAATATATTAGGAGCAAGTTGGGGAAGCAATGGGTGGGACTTTTTTCTGGCTGAAAACTAGTTCCTTTTACTGACATAGTTCCAACAGCCCCAGAGAAAGCAATCAATAAACACTATTCCATAAATATTTACTGACTGCAAGTCTTCACCTTATAACTGAACCGGGCAGAGCAGGTGGACCCTGCAGTAATCTTGAATATTCTTGGCAGATGGAACATGAGTTCAAAAGAGGAAAGAAGTCGCTGCTCTGGGATGACTCTAGTATGCCTTCTTTGATCAAGAATCAGGGAAGGAGACTGCTCTCTAACTGGAGCTTTTTCAGAGAGGGGGCCTCTGGCAATCCCATCCTCCCCTCAAAACATAACTCTTCTTAGCCGGGGTCTGTGGGGCCCGCGCTGCCTGCTCAGCGGGGTGGCCGGTATTACATCATGTGAGCTCAGTGTGGTCAGATGAGCGAGAGTTGAGGGTCTTTGGGTCTATCACAAGATGCCCCTGTGCTACGTGCTTCTAGGGTACCCTGTTCTCACCCATCTGGGCACACGGTGACCCTTCCTGCCAGTCTGCTTGCTCAACGTGTCACCTTCCCCGACAGGCTCTACGAGTCATGACCATGGTCCTAGCCTAACACCTAGTCTAATGTCCTGTATAAGCAGGAGTTCCGTACATGGCTGCTGCCCTAACCGGAGGGCGGCATCTCCTCCAAGCCTGTGCTTGCATCAAATAGGCGTGGATGCCGCGGCTCCGACACGGGGCAGCTGGTCCTTCGCCCGACACCTCGAAAGCCGTGGAACTGACAGTCACATCCCATTCAGTTCTCCACCCAGGTTACTTGAAAAAGGCCCCCTGGGCACCTCCCATGAAGGTAAATGTCTGCCCGTTGCATGGAGTTCCAGCCACGAGACTAACCTCTCTCCACATGCCCCAGAATTCACAGGGCAAGGCACTTTATCTGAGACCCTGGGGCTGCGCAAAGGGCGGCTTCGTATCCTCACCCCCCACGGGAGAGAGCTGGCTCTGCCGGCCGCCCTCTGCGGGACTCGCGCCCACGCACCTGGTGACCTCTTCCTTCATGTAGGTCGTGTAGCTGTTACCATTGTAGGACAGCAGAAGCCCGCCGTCATTAAGCCGGTGGGCGTCGATCTCGATGTGACAGCCATTCATGATGAGGACGAACATGGTCAGAGATTGCCGGGCCACCTGTGGGGACAGGCTCAATGTCCCCACCTGAATTCAGGGGGTCTGCTGGTCCCTGTGCCCCCAGAACACTGTCTGGCCTCCGCCGACCAGGAGCTCGGGCTACTGCCCACCACGCGGTGCCAGGGCAGACGCCTTGCCTGTCCAGCCCCAGCGCCCCCTGGTCCGGACGGAGAAGCTGGCGGGGGGAGAGCCTGGAGGAAGTGCGCCATACCTGCCCCGTGGGCAGGCTGATGGTCGCTGGCCGAGGGCCTAGTCCTGCCACCACCGCTCACCACCCATGTGCTCTCCTCCTGACTCCCGCTCCCAAGCCTCGGCCCCCAGCAGGGCTACAAGGCGGGCTCACTCTGGGCGAGGCAGCCCTGGGGGCTCCACCAGTGACGTGGACGAGGGCGCTGCCTCGCAGACGTGGCTCCGCCCAGGGGCCTCCGAGAGATCGGGACACTCAGGAGAGGCACAGGCGGCCAGGTCTCAGCTCTGCCTTTCAACCTGACATGCGGCCCATGTGGCCTTCGGCGCAGTGTGTGCGTTCCCGCTCAGAAAACAAACGCCCTAAAGGGTCCTTGACCTATAAAATATGTATTTGGAGACCAAAGATAGCAAGAAATGTAGGAACATATCATTGCATCATTTACGGTAACAATAAGAACCAAACTAGCTATCCAACAACCTTGCAATGAAATAAAGACTCTAGACCTGCACGGTTGAAAGTGGTAGCCCCTAGCCACTCGTGGCTATTTAAGTGTAAATATTAAAATTAAATGAAATGTCGAATTACAGTTACACTTGCCACATTTTAAGTGCTCAAGAGCCACAGGCGGCCTCTCCTGGACAGTGTAGGTCTAGAGCATGTTCGTCCCTCCTGCGAATTCTATTGGAGCCCCGCAGACCCTCAACTGACATTTGCACCATGTTCTCAACTTTGTAAAATCAATGCCTGGCGGAAAATAATAAATAACTGAAATGAGATACTGGATTAGGGCCCAGCCTAATCCAGTATGTTCTAGAGGGGTGTTCTAGAGAAGAGACCCAGAGACGCAGGTGCAGAAGGAGGACAACATGAAGACAGACACACACACACACAGAAAAGAGGGCCACATGAAGCCGGAGGCAGAGACTGGAGTGAGGTCTGCGAGCCAGGGACACCGAGGACCGCCCACAACCATTAGAAGCAGGGAAACAGGAGACGGCTCTCCTCTGGGGCCTTCAAAGAAATCAGGCCCAGCCCACGCCTTGATTTTGGACTTCTGGCCCCCAAAACTGCAAAAGAATAGATTTCTCTTGTTTGAAGCCATCAGTTCGTGGTACTTGGTGACGGCAGCCAGTGCGTATTGCTCAAGCCTAGGTGCTCTCCAACCTAGAGTGTTCAGGTTTCAAGGTCATGGGCTGCAGGGGGCATCCTGAGACCCAGGTGTGAGAAACCCACTCCAGGGATGACTCATCACAGGAATAAAAACTCCCTCAGGACTCCAGGGTGTTGGCAACACCTGAGAAACACGGGTCTTTACCTTGAGAATGTACTTGATGCCTCCGTAAATTAATTCCACGTCCACAGTGTTCCGCAGGGAGGCTGCGGGGAGGACCTGGCCCCTGAAAGAGAAGACAGGCCTGCGGTCAGCCTGGGAGCGACTGAGAGCTGCGGCCATGCCCCCCGGACTGAAGCACCAACACACCTGACTGTGCTGAAAAAGCTACATCTGGCCCTGGCCGCTATAGCTCAGTTGGTTGGAGCATCAACCCGTAAACCAAAAGGTCATGGGTTTTATTCCTGATCAGCGCACACGCCTGGAATGTGGGTTCATCCCTGGTCAGGGCGCAAAAGAAAGGCGACCAATCGATGTTTCTCTCTTTCTCACTCTACCTCACTTCCCATCTCTCTAAAAATCAATGAGCGTGCCCTCGGGTGAGGGGGAAAAAAAGGATAAAGGTGATTAAAAGGCAAGAAACAAGTATCATCCCAAGGAAGCTGACATTCCTCAGAACTTAAGGAAACTATGTTTTCTGAAGGATGTGAAATTTCAAAAGGGCTTTTCAGGGAGCCAAATAGTAATAGCTTCTTCTAAAAAAATTCTGTGTGTGGAAATCCCGCTGCCTGCTTATGAAAGAAACCAGGGCACACACTATAATTCCGTTCAAAAGCACGATAAACAGGGGCTAAAAACTTTCATCCTCTTATTTTCTTTTTGGTAGCTTCATTTGCCTATCACAGAGATTCTCAACTGCAGGCAATTTCTATTTCTACCGTTGGGACACCAGGCCACATCTGGAGACACATCTGAATGTCATGAGGTCAGCACTCCAGGTCTGATTGTCGTGACTCTGTGGGGAGAGGGGACCCTGTGAATGGGGCCGGGGATGCTGCTCACATCCCGCAGCGCGCAGGACGGCTCCACAGCACAAAATGATCCAGCCCAACAGTGAGGCTGATGGGGCTGAGGCTGAGAAACCCTGGCCCATCCCAACAGTGAGCCCCTGGCCACTTCCATGCTGGTCCATCTGACTTGGCACCTTTCTTCCCTCAATCATGTGAGAGAGAAACATCGATTTGTTGTTCCATTTTTTCATATGTTCATTTGTTGACTCTTGTATATGCCCTGACCGGGGATCAAACCTGTAACCTGGCATATCAGGGGCAACACTCTAACCAACTGAGCTCCCCAGTCAAGGCTAGTAGGCACCTTCTGACTCAAGTGGGGGTCTGGGAGAGACCAAAATACACAGCCTATGACTCTGACCCGAGTCAGCAGGAATAGAATACAGACACACGACCGTCTGTATTTTAACTGTTGCCTTGCCCTTGAGAATGCTGTCCCCGAGCCTCTTCCAGGGCAGCCCAGGATTCTCCCAGGAATTTCAGAGGCAAGCATGTAGGAGGGGTTCACTCATCTCCTGGAGGCTGATTCGTACCCAGGTAAAGCACGTTCTGCCTTCTTTGCCACTAACACCTATCCCAAAAGGGAAAAAAATTACCTACACGCCCTACCTTTCCAGTGAGTGTAAGAAATCCGTCATGCAGGTCCTGAACATCGCATCGGCCACGTTCAGGGCTCCACACACCACCCCGAGCATGATATCTGGCTTTTCCGCCTAGGAAAGACCCTGCATTTCAGTGCCCACATCAGCCAAGCCCCCAGGAAGGAAGCTGGGGGAGGGGCATCCTCTGTGATTGAAGGAGAGACGCGTGCAGCTCCTCACCTGCACTTTTTCAGCGATGAGGTGATCCAACCACCCAGTGTCGATGTCATTGTTCTGGAAGCTTTCAGTCTCCAGAAGGTTAACGAGATATTCCACGGTGGTCCTGAAGTCCCCCCGGATGGACAGTTCCTTCAAAGCCACCACCATGTTCCTAGAGGGGAAAGGCACACAATATTTTCCAAATTAACACACGGGTTCCCGCATGGTTCCCAGAGAGCCAGAATAACACAGAGGTTAAGAGGGTCCTGACTCGGACACCCTGGGTCCATCTCAGCTCTAGCATTTACTGGTCGAATAATCTTGCGCAAGTGACTTAACTGCCTGGGCCTCGGTTTCCTCATCTGGAAAATAGGGAAATAACCCTGACTTCACACAGGCACTTGAGGAGTAAAATGAGACAATCCATATAAAGCACCCCATCACTGATCAGTAACTGTCAACTGAAATGAACGTGATTAATTACCACGACTATAATTCTAATTAACCACAGCCAGTCACCCTGCCTCTCTCTGCTGCTGGACCCATTCAAATCCCCGTGTCCCAGAGCTGGTGCCGCCCTCCGGCCGCGTGCACAGCTGCTCTGCCCCGTGTGCACAGGGTGCGCCTTCAGGCCATGAACACTGTTACTCTACTCGGGGCTTGGTGGTCCCCAGCTAGCATGGGCTTGGCTAGTAACCAACTCCCATTTCCCAGAGGGGCTGCCTGCTTCCCAACAAGGCCTTCAGTCCCAGGGCTGGAACCTGTACTCCCTGTGAAATCCTGGGGACAGTGTTTTGTGAGAAATGTCGCAGAGGCAGAGGAGGCATTAGAAGGCTTCTTTTCCTGGGAGGGCAGAGTTTTCACACCCATTTTGGCAGTGCTGGGTGCTGTCACCACGTGTGCCAAAGAGGCAACAGCCACCCTGTTCTAAGGGTGAAAAAATGCAGATACACTGAGGTCAAGTGAGGGCGTCAACAGGCTACGGCTGCGGGACCCGAACCTGCATCTGAGTTCCGCCACTTGACTCAGGGTGACCAACTTGCCCCCGTTTGCTCAGGACTTGGCATGTTTTAGCCTGAGAAATCCCAGAGTCCCAGGAACACTGGGAAAACTGATCCCCCTGCTGGATTCTGACCTCAGCGCAAAGAGCTGGAATGTTTTTCTCTGAACCCCATTGAAGTTGCTACTGGTCATTCACTCACAGCAGGAGACAAGCCACACGGCCTTCCATCTGGAGTCCTTCCATCCGGAGTCGGCTGGGCTAGCTTCCCTCCCTTCCCGCTCCTGTTCATTCTTAGTTACTGCAATTCTCTCTCAGTTTCAGGGCCTCAACTTTTTAATGTGCATGATTAAAACTAATTAATTGAAAGTGCCCATGCCAAAGAGATTTTAACATTTTTTAAGTAAAATGTCCACGATGTCTTTTGGATTTTTCACTCTAAAGGTCACCCACCAACACAGGAATGTTAAGTTACCATGGGAACTGGTTTTGACCCCTTTGCACCCAAGTCAAGGCAGGAAAAAGACGTATTTCAGAATTCAGGGCCCCTTGGTTAAGGCGGGTTTCTCCAGAAACTACTTATGAGATTTAAATTTAAAGGAGATCCTCGCCACCCCCCTACACACACACACCTTTTTTTAAAAAAGCTACAGTACTCAGCACCTTTTAAACTTTTGGAATCACCTCAAACGTTCTTTGGATCTCCTTCAAGTTCGACCTGCAATAGCTCAGCAGCAATGACCTTGGAGAGGTCATTTTACTTCACGGATCTCAAATACAGGAAGAGGGCAGGCTTGGCGCTTGCACTTCCGCTCAGGGGGTTTGAACAGGGTCTGCTGTGTGAGGCCCCCCATATCTCCTAACTTGCTCCTGCATCTGCAGCCGCAGGCTAACTTTCTTAAGGGATGAAATGCACGGAAGGAGGAGGGAAGCGAGGAGGGGAAGGAAGAAGGGAGATACTGACGAAATGGCCTCTTCCCGGTTCTCTCCCCAGGAGAAGCAGTGCCCAAACTGGGAGTCGGCAAACTCGTGTAAGCCTCCGGTAGCGGCCACGCTGAAGTAACCCCACACGTTCTTGCTGCTGCGGAAATTCAGTTCCTGGACGGTTCCGGAGCTCGGCTTAAATCCCTAGAGCACAGGCAAAAAAAAAAAAGGCAAAATGGAAAGAGTCATCATTCCAGATGTATTTACATCTGAGTTAAATCTGACGAAAACCCAAGAACCCGTGCCATCACCAAAAATTGAGCATAATCAGAAAACACTGATACCCACTCTGGCCAGGTGGCTCAGGTGCTTAGAGCATCATCCTGCTACAACCTAAGATTGCGGGTTTGATCCCTGCTCAGAACACATACAAGAAGCAACCAATGAATGCATAAATAAGTGGAACAACAAATCTATGTCTCTCTCTCTCTCTCTCTAAAATCAATCAATCAATAAATTTTTAAAAAGAAAGAAAACATTGATACCTCTCATTGGGGGTGTGTGTGTATCTACCTGTTGGTGCATCATGTGAGCACATCAATGCATGTAATTTTTACTTTACAAAAATGATTTTAAAAAAATGACACCCAAGTTGGAATGGGGGAAGAATGTACAGATGTAATATGGGAGAACAGTGATCGCTGATAGAGCTGAGCGAAGGGACATTCTGATTTTATACTCTTGACATTGTCAATAATAAAATGTTTAAATGAAAGAGGACTGGAGTTCCCGTTCCGGATTATGAAAATTCCAACAGATAAAGAAATCCAGCGTTAGCCTGGCTGATGCTGATGCGTCTTCTTCCCTTGGGGGGCTGGCCTGTCCCCGCTGACTGTAATTTCGGTAAGGGGGCGGGGTGGTGAGCCTGCACCTGGTCTCTGGGGTTAGGGTTCTGAAGTAAGTGGGGACAGCACTGGTTTGGAAGTGAGAGGCAGAGTTCCAGGTGCCCGGGAGCGCCCCCAGCTGGCCCTCCGCCACCCAGGCACCTGGGAACGAGCCATCATCCCTCTGAAAAACTCCTGTTTTGCCTGTCCACCACCAGAGTCAGTTGTGGGCTTGCAGCCAAAGGGCTCCTAAACTAAATAGCTACCGAACTCTAAAATTCTGTAATAAAGGGGAGAAGGGAAAAAACAAACCTCTCCCACCCCAGGTTTCTTGAATGCAATCATTAAACAGTTAGGTTGCGGCAGGTTCTGGAGATGATGTGACAATCAACCCTTAGTAAAGCATGTCGACTGGGACAGATGACAGCTGGCGGGGGTTTTTTAAGGCACAAGAAAGAACAAGTCACAGAGGGACTCTATATGTCAGGCCGGGCTGCATTTAGGGTGCAGCAAAAATCCCCAGGATCCAGGCTCTAAGCCCGGTGCTGTCCCAAAGGTGGACATGGCCTTTGGAGTCCCCGACGCGGCCTGGCCAGGGCCTCAGCAGGTCCCGGGCTTGAGGCATTAGGCAAGTTAGCCCGACCTCTTGATTTGTGATTGGGGGTAATGACGCCCAGTGCCAGTACGTGAGCAGTGAGACATATGAAGGGATGGGCACGGCGTGCGCCACGTGTCAATACACCGTGATCCATTCCCCCCTCCGCGCCCCCCGCACCTCCGTTCCCTTATCTGTAGACTGAGAAGCCTGGGGAGAAGGGAAAAAACAAACCTCTCTCACCCCAAGTCCAAGGCTAATGCTGGGGGTCCGCCCCACACCGGGAGACTGGAGATGGCAGAAGCAAGGGGTCCCCCACAACTTGCCTCATCGGGATTTTCACTGGTGATTCTGGCTGCAATAACGTGGCCTCGGGGGAGGGGCGAGTTGGAAGGGGTTTCAAAAGCAATGGGCGTCACTCCCCACGGTGACTCTCCATACAGAAGGCGGATGTCCTTCAGCCGGTGCAGTGGCACACCCATGGCGATCTGAAATCAAGAGAGCCGTCCCACGGCCGTCAGTCCCGCGAGACCCCTGCCCCCAAACACCAAGCACGGTGCTGGATGCGCTGGCGAACGAGGTCACATGAAAGACGGCAGATATACTGGGCACCTAAGGTGCACACAACACTGCTAGACGGTGGCAGGAGAGGCAATAAAAGAGAAGGACAAAGGCCTGACGTTGCCCCCACGGAGCAAATCGTGCCATTGGGAAAAGGGGCAACATTCATGAAACAACATCGCGTGACGAGAAAATACACATGGCAAATAAAAAGTTACAGATGTTAGTGCTATGGAGGGTGAGAAGGAAAGGGACCCAGAAGCAGAATTACAGGTTTGGTGAAAGATGCAGGGGACGCTGGGCTAGAGGAACGAGTAATACCCAGACCGCTGAAGACACCAGCTCAGTCAAAGGATCGAACTTAACATGCTGTGTCTTATGACGTGACACGTGCAAAAGAACATAATGTTTAAGAGACTAATCAGGGGGAAACAACCAGACAAATCCAAGCAGAGGGACATTCTGCCTGAGCTCTTCACAACGCCAACGTCAACAATGAAAAAATAAGACTGAGGAATGGTCCCAGATTGGAGACTAACGAGACGTGGCAATGAAATGGAATGCGTGGTGCTGGATTTAAAAAAAAACAAACAAACAAGAAACAGCTACAAATTTGGGAAAGTGTTAATGTGGGCAATGATATTACACAGATATGTGGCAGTATGCATGCTGTATTGTGAGTGCTGGAATATTTATTGTGGTATTGTAACAAAATGCCCTTGTTCTCAGAAGGCCCTGAAAAATGAAGTATTGAAAGGCAAAGTAGCATGCAGGTTCAAGTCAAAACATCTCTCATAAGACTGGGCCAAGAAAATAATCATACAAGCACACCACAGAGAAAAAGCAACTGTGGTAAGATGCTAACAATGAATGCGGATCCAGGCACAGAATACGGTGTTAACATGTATTATTATCCTTTCAACTTCTCTGAAATTTTTCAAACCAGAAAAAATAAAAGCAAAACAAAGATTCTGGTGGGGGAAGGAAGGGAGGGAGGAAGAAGACATTCATAAAAAAAAAATTGAGCTCCAATTAATGCAGGCATTCCTACCTCTGGGTCACAAGTTCTCAATGGAGGCTGATACTGCCCCCCAGGGGACAGATTTGTTCTTGGGGGGGGTGTGTGAAAAAAGTCTCACTCTTGGTATATGTAAAGCACAAATGTCTCTATGGTACTGAAAGAGATATACAGTATATCTATGATATTAAGATTTCATGAGGGGAGAGATTAGGAGGAAAAAATGTCTAAAAAGCCTCCTTGTGGGAGTGATAATGAAAAAAAGGTGGAGAAATATGTCTTTGGGTCTATGAATGGGTATCAGGGGTCCCCAAATGCCCTGAAATTGCATGAAATGTCTTTTTCCGGGGAGAGGGTCTGCAACTCTTGCCAGTTTCTCAAAGGACTATATGACAGGCAAAGGTGACAAACCACATCACAGAACGTCCTCAGCATCCGCAGCCCTCAGTGCTACATATACACCCAAACGGTCACTCCCCAGGGTCAGTCAAGATGGGCAGGAAGGTCTGGTCTGAGTCCAACAGCGACCCGTCCTGGGCAGAAGCAGCCCCAGGGCCAGAAGCCCGTTGCCTCACCTGGAGCTGGGCGGCCGGCAGGTTGACGTCGGCGATCATTTCTGTGCAGGGGTGCTCCACCTGCAGGCGCGGGTTTAGCTCCAGGAAGTGGAAGCTGCCGTCCTGGCTGTACAGGTATTCAACTGTCCCTGCGCTCACGTAGCCCACGGTCTTGGCCAGGCGGACGGCACACTGCAAAGACGCAGAGGCCGAGGGGTTGCCAGAGGTTTTCTCGGGTCGTTTTAATAGCGGCTCATGAGTTCCCCCACCAAATGCAGACTGAGGACCTGCTATGTGTCAGTCACTTTGGGACCACATGGCTCACCCTCCAATAAACCCACGCCAGGCGGGAATCATGTCTGTGATGGGCCCCTGGTCTCTTCTTGGGCACCCACCCCACTTTGGTAACACGGACCACAACAAGCTTTTACTGGCTCCGAGCTGAGACGGCTCCGCCTGCGGCTGTCCCCACGCCCAGCCCTGCAGAGCCCACCTGCTCCATGAACTCGAACACAGCCGGTGTGGCGATGGTGGCAGGTGCCTCCTCGATGATCTTCTGGTGCCGCCGCTGGATGGAGCAGTCTCGCCCAAACAGGGACACGGCGTTGCCATACTGGTCGGCGAGGATCTGGACCTCCAGGTGACGGGCGTGCTGGGCCAGCTTCATGAGAAAGATGGGGGAGCCTGGGATCTCGCTCTGTACCTGCGGGGAAGACGCAACAGCTGGAACAGGGAGTTCTCCGAAGAGAGGGAGAGACGACGGCAGCGTTGCCATGATCTTCTGGTTTTGTCTGCCCTCTCTCAGAGATATTACATTCTCCTTTTAAATCCAACAGTGTGAAGTACATAAGGTAGGAAGTAAAATTTCCCCACAATCTCATCTCCTAAACACAATGTGCTGTTAAGAGTTGGGCTCAGCCCTGACTCGTAGCTCAGTTGGTTGGGCATCGTCTGGCAAAGAAAGGTCGCCGGTTCAGTTCCCAGTCAGGGCACATGCCTGGTTGCGGCTTCAGTCCCCAGATGAGGAATGTACAAGAGGCAACGGATGGCTGTTTCTCTCTCACATCGATGTTTCTCTCCCTCTCTTTCTCCCTCCCTTCCCTTCTCTCTACAAATAAATTAAATCTTTAAAAAAAAGAGTTAGGTACAAACTAGATAAGAGTTTCAGGTACTGTTAAGAGTCAATGTCGTTGAGAATTAATGCGGCTATGGTGTCAGATAGTGACTAACTTATCAGGGTGATCCCTTCATAAATTATATAAACGTCTGATCACTACGTTATCACCTGAAATTACTATAATATTGCATGTAATTGAAAAAAATTTTTAATTATTTTAAAAAGAGTTACTGTGCTGTTAAGAGTTGGGTGTATGAACTGGTTTTCTGCTACACATTCAGCAACATACACACAGACAATATTTCTTTAAATGAAAACAGGACCAAAGCACACTACCCTGTGGCCTTCTTTTCCTCCTGCTCAACGCACTCGCTCAGCTGGCTTTCCACGGTGGGACCTACAGACAGACTGACTCCATCCTTTAAACAGCGGAAGGGCACTGTCTCATACGCATGTCGTCTAGAGACTCTTAAAGAAAGATGACGTAAAAATAACTGTGCACATAGAATGATTTCTAAGACAGATTTTCTCAAAAGCAGGTTGCAATAAAATATGGGATGATCCCACTCATTTAAAAAATCATAAAACCAAATTATATGACTGTCTATGTGAAAATCCTCCCCCTGCAATCCCACGTCCTTTACCCAAGAAAATAACTCAGAAGAGGAGGAAAAAGAGCTAAGTATTATTTATAGTCTTAAAGGCCATATTATACTGTAGTAGCATTATTCATAATAATGAAAATAGGAACAAACTTAACATTAAACAAAAAAGGAAAGCTTTGATAAATAAAACCATAGCCATATAGGGAATACTGTGTAATTATCAAAATAACTGTAAGGCCTGGAACAACATGGTAATGTTCATGATCTCCAATTTAGAATGTTTAAAATGTAGAACAGCATTGTGTAAACCAAATACAACACTTTAAAATATATACGTGAATAAGGTCTAGAAGAAAACCTAGAAATATGAAAAAAGTTGGATTAAGAATGAGAAGATTGTCAGCATAAACTTTTTTAAACACTGCCAAAAATAGGCATAATGTATGAATAGTGGAAAACTTGCTAAAATTAAGTAAATGCACAATTACAGTTGACCCTTGAACAACTCAGGGGTTCTAGGCACCAACCTCCCCCAGAGTTGAAACTCTGGGTATAACTTCTGATTCCCGCCCAAATTTAATTACTAATAGATTACTGCTGACCTTATTGATGACATAAATAGTCAATTAATACATACATGTATATATTTTATGGTAATAAATGATAAGATAGACTAGTATCTACATATATTTTATGCATTCACGACATTTTTTAAATTTTTTGATATTTCTAGATTATACAGTTCATCTGTGAGTTTTTCCAAGTTGTTGAAAATCTCCAAAATATTTCTTAATGTAATTACTGAAAAAAACCCCATGTATATGTCTACCCACGCAGTTCAAACCTATGTTGTTCCAGGTTCGTCTGCATAGTTCCTGCAGTAAAAACGGGTCATCTAGAAACATTAAAAACACCAAGGCTGCTACAATTTATAAACTATCCCATCTCCCGATAGACAGGTATAGTCAGAAACAGACATTCTGACCCTGTGTCTTCGAAACCACTTACAGACACACTGATTCACAGCCTTGAGCACGTTAGGAAATGGTACACCGATCTACACACACCATGGACTTCAGAGTGTAAAATGCACACATCGGCTTCGAAATATAACACAGCCGAGCAACATTCCACTCCTGCAAATATCCTCTCATGGTTGTGACACAATAATGCTAACAGAAATAATCTGTTTGCCAAGAACCGAATAAAGACACCTCCCAAAGATGTGACAAAAAACACGCAGCAAGGAAAGCTCACTTGTCTGAAAAGGATCGGGAAGTCCTCGGCGCTCTCTGCCTTCCGGATCCCTTTCCCTCCACCACCTTCCGAAGCTTTGATCATCAACGGAAAACCAATTTTTTCTGCTGCCTGGGGGGACAAAGGACAGACAGAGGTCTTCAGAGGTTAGAGATTTTCCACCGCCACCAGGACAGTGAGAAGGTTCTGGCCCCTCGGTCCCCCAGGCTCCGCCGTTACCTCCAAGCCCTCATCTACGTCTTTCACACAACCCTGGTTGTAAATGTCTTCCGGGACACAGACTCCGGTCCCCCGCTGCAGGTCGTCGTCTGCCCATTCCACCGTCAGGCCTGGGGTCACAGAGAAAGCTGAATCCTCCAAGCGCGGCAGAGACCACGGCCCCCTCACCAAAGCGCCTCTAGGCCCGGCCTCCGGATCAAGAGGACACAGACACAGTCCTTCAGCTTAAGTAATTCATGGCTTTTAATTTTCCAAAGGACTGACTCAACCCTGAATGGGCAATCGAGCTGAAGAAATTCAGACTGAGTCTACCAAGAACACCATCTTACCCTGAATGCAGCTACATCCCATTCTACCCCACGGGCTCATTTACATGGGCATCATTATTTCCCAACACCCTGTGCAGATTTAAAACAAACAAAAACTTTCCATTCCAAATTTAAAATTCAATCTTTACAAGAAAAAAAATCAAACTGAATAGGAAATTCCTGACTTTTTCCTGTTTATTTTTGGATGTACTTAGAAATTCCACTTTGAGAAATTTATCCTAAGGAAGTGATTAAAATGTACATATTGAGCCATACGATGATAAAGCCTCCATTACTTTTAATAGTTTTTAAATTAGAACAAAATTAAATGGAAACTGGAAAATGTATAACTGGAGAGGGCTGTTAGGTAAATCACAGTATATCTGGATTGATATAATCCTATGCAGGCATTTTAAATGCTGCAAAGTATATTTATTCACATAGAAAGATTAGTAAGAAAAATAAGTCCCAAACTAGTAAATACAAGGTCTCTGTTTTAAAGGATGTGCTTGGAAAAAGACTAGATAGATACCTAAAATGCAACGAATATTCAACACTGAGTCTTAGGATTCTAAGTGATTCGTTTTGTTTTTTAAAAACTTCTCCTATTTTCCACATTGTCTACGATGAAACTGTACCACTTGTTTAATAATTTAAAATGTTTGAGGGAAAGAATAAAAAAAGCATACTCCTGTCATCGCGGTGCTCACATTAGCAGACTGGGTAAGGAGTCCCCCAAAGTGAAGGCTGGGGCCCTTACCGCTTCCACTCCAGGGCAGCGTTGGGATCTGCAGCGTCTGGGCGACGATGGTGGAGGCGATCTTATCTCCCAGGGCCCACATGGCCTCGCTGGGAGGGCCTGAAGGGTCAGCGACAGGGGGGGAGGCAGAATGGAGTCAGCCACAAGATCCCCTGCACAGCCGAGTGTTAGAACCTAATTTACAGAAGCGGGCAGTGGGCTGGATTCGGCCTGTGGGCTGAAGTTTGCCAGCTTGTGGGCTGGACCATCAGCCCCCAGAGGTGCTAAAACTGAAGGATAACGAGAACCCTGTGTGACAGTCAATCAAAGACATGGACAGATAACACATCAGTGGGCACAGGTCACCAGGCTGAGCCTTGGAATGTCAGGGGTTGATCTGCACTGAGCCGCTTCGTACACAAGTCCGTGTGGTGGGCCCGAAGATAAGGGTGGGAAATGATCCCCCTAAACCAGGCAAGGATGTCAAACAGCGTAACTATGCAAAGTTTACAAATGTAAGTTCGAATCCTGAAACAAACACATGTCATACATAATAAGCATCATAGGGCCTAATAAATAGTAGATGTGAGGGGCTCTGGTCCCAAGGGGTTAGGGCAGTCCAAAGGCCTGAGCACAGCCCAAGCAAAGGTGTGGTCTTATCCGAAATGTGATTTCCAAAGCCAGTGATAAATCTGAACATGGCTGGCATCTCAGCGCCAACAGGAACCCTAGCAGAGAGGTCTGCTTGCCCCCGGCATCATGCCACTATGGTAACCATAGCAATGGCTCCATTGTTCCCTGGCTGATCACCAACCCAGGTGCTCTCCCACCCCTGGACTCGCTTGCTCCTGACAATGAATGTGTGAGGTGGGAACACCAAAATGACCCCCACTTTACAGGGCTGCGCTAGAAAGAGACTCTAACCCGGAGGAGTGTCCCATCAGCACCCCAATTCCCACGTATCTGACGGTGACACACTTTACCTAAGAAAGCAATCTCATTCTTGCACAGCAGCTCCGGAAGTTTGGGGTTTTCGGAGGCGTGGCCCCAGCCCGCCCACACCGCCTGCAAACACAGAGAGGCGTGAATGAAGACCTGCCTTCACCACCGCCTCCCATCGCGCAGCGAAAGCTCTTGGCTGCGTTACATCGGCCCTGGATTTCAGATTCTTGCAGCACCCGGCTCCTCCACCCCTTCTGAGTGCGGAGTCGGGCTGCTCCAGAGCTCGGGGCATCGCCGCGGGGCGGACGGGGGCGCCCGTCCAACGTACCTGCACAGGGATTCTCTTGGCAATGTCCACGATCAGTTCCACGTTGGCATAGTTGTTGTTGTTGGGCCCCCCGGGCACGGGGACATACTGATCCGCCATCTTGATGTACTCTGGAAAGAACAAGAGAGACCGAAGGCAACTGTAGGAAATTGGCAAGAAACAACTGTGGACGGCCATTGAAAGAATAACCAAATAACTGTGACGGAGCAACAGTGGACAAACATGTGTGATAATTAGAAGAAAACTGAATACGATTTTACTTGTATAAAGAAGTGTGTCTGGACCAGGCCTAAAGGGAACAAAAATACAAGGAAGTACGCTATCAGGGCAGTGGGATTAGAGGTAGGGCTGTTTGTTTTTTTTAAATCCTAAACTCTCTTAACATTGTTTTGCTGTGAAAGACTACATGTTTGTTTTTAATCATGGTTTAAAAAAAAACACATTCACCATCTTACTCATTTTTTGAGTGTACTGTTCAGTAGGGATAAGTACATTTACACTGTTGTGAAACAGATCGCCAGCCTTTTCTCCTCTCACAAACCTGAAACTCTGCGCCCATGAGACAGTTCCCCTTCTCCCCCGCCCCTGGTGACCGCCATCCTTCCTTCTGTCGTGAAGATGTTAACCACTCTCTGGACCTCATGTGAGTAGAATCAGACAGTAATTGTCTTTCTGTGATCGGTTCATTTCCCTTAGCATACTGTCCTAAACTTTCATCCATGTGACAGTAATTCCTTCCTTTTTAAAAGTGATTATGATTACTATGTTTCAGTTTTAAACTATTCATGCTCTTTAAGCCAGACATTCCACGTCAAGAAATATGTTCTTAAAAAAGAGCCACTGGGGACCAGACCCTGTAGGTCAGTTGGTTAGAATGTCATCCTGATACGTCAAGGTTGCGAGTTCGACCCCTGGTCAGGGCACATACAAGAAGCAACCAATAAATGTGTGAATAAGTGGAACAGCAAATTTATGTTTCTTTCTCTCTCACCCCCTCCTTCTCTCTCTATAAAAAAAAAAAAAAATCAATAAATTAAAAAAAAAATCTCTGGGAAGGCCCAGAGATTAGAAAGTGAGAGGTCAGACAAGCACCCTCTCCTCACCGAGCTTTTACTCTGCGTTGGAGAAGATAACCGTGAAAGCAAACAGGGCAGCCACAGACCGTGGTCAGCGCCTCGGCACTAACAGATGCACAGGGAGAACGATGAGAGCGGAAGGTCAGGGCAGAGAGGGGTGAAGGCCACTGTGCAACGAGCGTCAGGGGAAACGTCAGCCGAAGGTCCGGCGCACTCCCAAGGCTCTGCCACGGGAAAGAGCAAGGCCAGTCCAGGAACCGACAAGGTCCCTGTGACTGGGACCCAGGGGTGAAGGGCGAGGGGGTGAGATGGGAACCGGAAGCCGGCGAGCGTGCAGTTGTGAGGGGCCTTAGCTGGCCTAGTGAGGACCTGGGATTTTAGTCTGAGCATGATGGGAGACCCCACAGCATAAGGGTCCCAAGGCTGGACCCTGCGTGCTAGCCTTGCCAGGACAAAAGAGAGAGAGAGAGAGAGAGAGAGAGAGAGAGAGAGAGAGAGAGCACCACTTTCAAATACAGCCGGAGCGGCCAGACCAGAGGAACTGCCTGGCACCTCTTCTGTCTCAGATCTTCAAAATGTTACAAAGGGTAACATGACCTTGGGGCTGGGCCTAGGACAACACTGTGTGCCGAAGAGCTGTTGGCAAAGATAACAAGAAACCGGTTATTGTGACTACCGGACTGACAATTTAAAACATTGTTTAGAATTAACATCACTCTATTATCTGCACCATTAGAAAAGCCTTCCTTCCACTGAGGTAATTATTCCCTTTCCCTTTCTCATAAATACCCCTTGCTTTTGTGTCCTAATCGGAACAGTATTTGGGCTTCAGTCTGAATCAGTGCATCCAAAATAGCTATTCTTATGGATCTCAAACACATTTTACCTCTTGCTTTAGAAGGCCTCTATTTTTAAGTTAATAGGCACATTCCATTTGTATGATGCTAGACAAGTGATTTACTGTATGTCCCCGTGCCTCAATGGCCTCATCTGTAAAATGGGTCTAACAATCCAACCTGTCCCCACTGTTCGGTGTGAGTTAAAAGGAGTCTGCGTCAGGGTAGAGTCGAGCCTAGAGCCTGCACCAAGGTGGGGGGTGGGGGACAGGCCTCAGGGGATGGGACTGAGGCTGCTGGTGCTAGGGACAGCACTGCAGTCTCTGAAGCACATAAGGAGGGGTTGACAGAACCTGAACTGTGTACTTAAAAGATCAATTTGCCTCCTGGAGGACAGTCTGTAAAGGGAAAGGATTGTTCAGGGGACAAAGCAAACTGCCAGTCCTTACAGAATGGTCTAGGCTAGCAGACAGAGAGACAGTAAATGAATAGAAAAATGAACAAATGATTGACATGCAGTACATGCATCTGCAAGAAAAAAACATCTGGAGGAAGAGACACCGATTTGCAGTGACACGGACATCGCTCAAAGATGGGATTTCCACTTGGCATGTTAACCATTTGTATTTTTATAAGGTGCAGGGGTCGCGCTCATTGTCGGAAGACATTTTAATTAAATGAAGAAGAAAAGGCAAATAAAGGCAGGCTCATGAGAGTGGTCCCCTGGAACTCTGCTTAGGGTCCAGAATGGACCTGCCCAGGTGAGGGCAGGGGAGGATGGGGCATGGTGGGGTGGGGGGGTGGGGAGGGAGTGAAGGCCCAAATACCTGCGTTGGCCTTGAGGTCCTCTGGAGTGACCATGACTACAAACCGGATGGCCCGCTCATTACGGAACATCTCGTAGGCCCACCTGCGGATGGAGCGCATGCACTTCACGGCGGCGATGCCATTGTTGGCAATGAGCACCTAGACAGAGGAGGAAGGAACCAGAGTTTCAATCTACCTGCAACGGAGGCTGCATGCCACCCTGGGGTCCATCTCAGGGCTGCAGAGGCTCCTATAGTACTTGGAGCACCTATTTCCTCTTTGTATTTCTACAGCACAGAGCCCAGCACAGAGCAGGTGCTCAAAGTCTGCCGGCTGCGTGAATGGATGATCGGATGGGTGGGTAGGTGGGTGGGTGGATGGATGGATGGATGGATGGTTGGTCTAATGGACGGATGGGTGGATAGATGGGTGGACGGATGATTAAATGGATAGATGGATGGATAAATGACTTTTTGATGCTTTTGTTTGGCACCATAATGATAACTTAACATTGTTCAAGGGTTTATCCGAATGTACCGAGCTACAGTACAATGTATTTCATTTCATCTTCACAGCAACCCTTTGAAAGCGGTTGTATTATTATCCCTATGTGGGGATGAAGACATTAAAACTCAGAGGAGCTGAGGCACTTGCCCAGGGTCACACACAGCCAGTAGTGAGTGGCCGAGCCGGGGTTCAAGCCCTCCACAGTCAGATCTGTGCTCTGAACTCCACCTGGTCAGCATGACCGCCTCTGCGTCCTAAAGGTCAAAGGGCCCAGACTTGGTTAGGAGGAAAGGCGGTAGGGCTGGCTGTCCCCCAGCGACGGAAGGGGTCTTGGTTTCGATTCTTGTTTGTATCATGAATTTGCTGCGTGGCATTAGATAGTTTCTAAAAAAAAATGAGATGTGTGGCTTCAAAGCTCTGACATACCCACTAAGCCCATACAGGGGTGGCCAAAAGGAGCTTTCCAGTTGTGAGTCCGTGAAACACAGTTTATTCTTGTATTATTATTTATTTATTATTGTATTATTTATTATTTATTAACCTACCTTTTGCCCGCCCCTGTACTTTAAGGCCCTTGCACTGCTGACTAATCTTCACAGCAGCCCAGAAAGATGAATCTCATTAGAGCTTTGGGATGTGACTGGCTCTATTTTATAGAAGGGGAAACTGAGCCCAGATGCCATGTCCCATGCGTGGCCACAGCAGACGGACCCCAGAGCTCCTGGCTCAGGTTCAATGTTCTTTCTCCCCTTTTTAAAATGGAAAATGTTAGCTGTCTCCTTTCATTACTGTCATTCTAGAATGTGGGTCTCCTCTCCCCTAAGGAGCTGTAAACCTGGCGAGGGCAGGGCCGGGTTTTAGGCTTCCCTCCCAATAACCAGGAAAGCAGCCCGTGCCCGAAGGCACTGTAGGGTCCTTTGTGAGCCTCCTGATCTTGCTCAGAGGCCTCAGTCTCCTCCTCTGTGAAGTGGGGTCATGGTCTGCTGCTCAGGCTGTCGGCACTGTGGAAAGCACATGAAGCCCAGCACCCAGCACTTAGCAAAAGCTCACCAACGGGTGGCCCTGGCCCTTTCTCTGCAGCATGAGCACCCAGTCTGAAGCTGGTTCTCCCATCCCACCCTACCAGGCCTCCCCTGGGGCACCAGGACCCCATCCGTACCTTCTCAATGACCCGATCTCCCCCAAAGCGCGTGACAAACTCAGCTGGGGAAGCTACGGTGAAATCTCTGTGCAGGTCCACCTTCTTCTGTTCGCGACCCCTCCTCACCAGGTGGAGCCCCGACATGCTGGGCCTGCAAAGGAACAGGACAGACGTGCGTGAGCCAGGAAGCCCGGGAAGCCGGGGAGGGAGTCCGGTGCCCAGCGCCTGTAGAATCAATGTCCACACAGAGAAGCTGAGGCCCATCATGCCCCTGCTGCGCGGTAGTCCCTCTCCGCACCCTGGAGGCGTTCATCTCACAAGGAGGCTCAAGAAGAGGCCGTCAAACGAAGAAAGCAGGAGCGAGCCCCTGACCCGCCCCAAGCTGTGTACATTCAGACTTTTTTTATCTTCAATGAACTTTTACTTTATATGCCCATCATTTAGGAACTCAATACTAAAAAGCTTATAAGAGGGGTGGCAGTTTACGATCAGGGAGGAAGTCACACATTCTAATACTTTAGATGTGTTAAATAGGGATGATGTCCCTGCACTTTTCTGAAAACAAACAAAAAATTGTATAAGAAAGAAGAGAGGTCCCCTGCCCTACCTCCTCCAGAAGCCGGCACACCTCTGGTGCTCTAAACCATGCGCGTGCACTATCTCGCAAGTTGTCCATTTGAGTCACCCTCTGTGGCCTTCCCACCTTGAGAGGTGAGAAGGTCGCACCCTCGCTTGGCCATCCTACCCACTTCCTTTCTCCCAGCCTCCCAACAGGGCCGCGCTGCAGTTCGGTAGGTTCACTATTCAGAGTTTTATGAGTCTGGGATCATTATTCGCAAGGGAGGGTTGGGTTAGACCAGAGTTTTCATTCCTTTTTTGTGTTTTTTTTTCCTGGAGTTAATGATTTTTTCATTGACTTGTTTTTCCTTGCACAGTTGTTAACCCATCCCATAGCCGCCGTCCACATTGGAGGTCGCTGGCCCTCTCTGTTGGTTTTCCACTGGTGGCATCTTTCCTGGAGGCCTCTACCCCTTTCACCCGGACTGGCTGTTCTCTGGACCCCCTTTGCGTTTCCTTGGGATTTTTTTTTTTCCATCACCATTTATCCCACCTGTACCCTCTTCCACCTTTGATCTCTAATTTGGGGATCACATGGCTCCCTCTTTCTTGGTGGACACTCCCTTGTTTTGCTGGGGCACATCCTCTAGCAGTTTCATAGGGTTAAAAGGAGGGTACAATGATAGCAGCACATAGGAAGCTGGTGCCTTCGACATGCCTGTCCTGCTGCTGGCTGCACTGGCCTCCCTTGTCACTGTCGCCCTAGAGATTCCCTTTGGTTCTGTGTTGGATCTCTGGTTCCTGCCTCCCATTGTGGGGCTCTTCTTTGTTTTTATCTCGTTTCACTGGAAGGCACCCTTTAGTAGCTTTCTAAGGAAAGGTGTTTGGGGCGGGGGGGGGTAAATGTTTTACAGCCACGCATGTTCTAGAACTGTCTTCTGCCCTCACATTTGACCCTCCTGTGTGGCTGTATGTGGAACTCTAGGAGGGAAAACCTCCTTCAGAATTTCGGAAGCCTTGTGCCGTTGTTCTGTGGCTTCCAAGAATGCTAAGACCAGAGCCATTCTGACCCTTAACACTTTGTGGGTGACCTGTTTTTTCATATCCAGAAGTTGAAAGAACTTCTCTGTCCTCTGCAGTCACAGTTTCACGGGGATATGCTCAGCTGCATGTCTGCTTCCCTCTGCGAGGCTGGGGATCTGCTAGGCTCCTTCAGTGCAGAAACTCACAGCCGGGAATTCGTCTCCAAACGCTTCCCGGGTGACTTCCTGCCCCCTTCCTCTCTATCCTTTCCAGAAGTCCTATTACTTGGATGTTGAAATTCCTGGACTGGCCAACCCGTTTATGTATTTTTCCCTCTCCTATCTTCTATTTACTTTCTGTGCAATTCCTCCAGCCTTTTCTTCTAACCATTCAGGGGCGTTTTTCACTTCTGCTCTCATGCTTTTAACATCTAAGAGCCTGTGTTTGGGTCTGCAAATGTTTCTTTTCGCACATGCTCTCCAACCTGATGGAGTGTCAATGACAGCACTTTGTGTTCTCTTCTCCTCAAATGAGTTGTTTTCTCCAAGTTTCCTGGGTCCCTTTGTTTGTCTGGGGCCTGCCTCCCTATTAGAACCTGCACCCAAATGTTTGGTAAGCCTGTGTCACTCCTTCACGGCCAGGGGCAGGGATGAAAGAGCCGATGAGAAGAGGAGGACCCTGAGCTCAACGCAGGGAGACCTGGGGGCGTTGTGCTTTGGGAAGCCCCAGCTATCTTTAGTCATCCCCCCTCACCGGCCCAGCCCCCCCAGGAGAAGTCTCTGGGTCTCCTGCACGGAGGAGAGTTTGGCCAGGAGCCTGGGTGGGGAAGAAAGGGGAGCTGCTGGGACGGTCCTAGCAGACGGGGCAGGTTTCAGGATTCAGCGCCTACAAAGACCCTAATCCTCCTGCTAGGAATACGGGCTCCACGCCCTCCAGCGTGCCCGGCAGGCCCCAGCACCTAGACCTCCTGCCCTCTACTGGAGCGGACGTGGGCAGTCCCCAGACACAAGGCGCAAGCCGAGGGACCTGGGAGTCTTTCACCCAGTTCTTCTCTTCCTGCCTTCACCCCCAGCTGCAGAGGCACCTGACGCTGCCAGTCCCTGCGCCTTTCAGATGCAGATCCAGCGGGTCCCCGGCTTGCCTCGCTGCTGCTCCATGCCTCGGCCCCCCAGGCTCTGCTGAGCCAATTACCGTTACTCATCCGCTTGCCAACTTCCAAAATGTTGCTCATCTCCCCTCCTGTTCTCCCAGGCTCGATGGCTTTCTCTCTCTCTCTCTCTTTTTTAAAATCTCTTTGGTGTCATTTGGTAGGATTTTGAGAGGAACAGAACCAGGCGGGGACATTCAGTCCACTCTCTTAATCCAGCCTTGGGGTATAAACTGGGAGCCGCCACCTGGTGGGAATTAGGTTAGAGGTTAACCACCCAGAGGTGTGTCCAGAGATGGTGACCAGGCATCTTGGGGGGCGGGGGGCGAGTGGGTTCAGTGGACGGAAAGTTTGGGTAGAAAACTGACTGATCATAAGGAATACCTCCAGCATGCCACCGCCTGTTGTCTGAGCAGGAAAAGCAAGGCCGCAGGCAAATAAGCATTTGGGGGAAAGAAATTCCATTTTATAGATGAGGAAACTGAGGTCCAGCCAGGCAAAGGGGGTCCCCCAGCAAGTCTCTAGGCCTGGGGCTCTTTCCATCACACCAGGAAGAGTTGGATTTGGACCTCTTCTGCTTGATTGACATCTCTGTGTCCAGTACAGTTTCCCATGAGAAAAACCCCCTACAAACCCGCAGTCTGCCACCGCCACAACCACTACCGCCAACCGCACCCCCACCCCGCTGCCAGATCCCCAGTGTGAATCACCGAAGGCTCGGCTCTGTCTGTCAGAGATAAAGAAACGGACTTCTAGGCCAGAGGAACAAAAAGAGAAATAAGCCCCGGGGAGGTAAAGCAGTTGGTTAGATCATCATTCCAATACGCCAAGGTTGCTTTTGGGTCAGGGCACATATAAGAATCAACCAATGAATGCATCAGTATGTGGAAAACAAATTGATATTTCTCTCTCTCGCTCTCTCTCAAATTGATAATTATTTTTTAAAAATAAAAATGAATGACAGAAATCCATCGCATTTATATGCCACTACAGGTTACGTACTTTCAGTAAGACTTTCTCTGTTCTGCTGGGCTTATGCACGGTGCCTGAATAAATGAATGAACAAGTGACTTCTGGCCCCTGAGAGACGGTGCCTCCCTGCTTCCCATTAATTGCAAGCAGCTTTTCTTCCAAAACCTCCTAGGACTGACCTGTCGCAATGCAACAAGACTTAGAAAAGTACTTTGGAAAGTCAATATCCTCTTGCAAATGTGAACGGTGCTTTTATCATAATTACATTTCATTAACCAGTGTGCAGTTCAGTGTGTTTTTAAAAACTTTATTTCTTTATGAAAACAGGCAGATTTGACCCGGGGGCCATAATTTGCAGACCCCTGATCTAGGGAAATAGATACCAAGATGTTAACAGCAGTTATCTCGGGTGGCTAAATAAAGGGTGGCTTCTGCTTTCTTCTCTTGGCTTGTGTTTGTTAAATTTTCAGCAATGATGTATTATTTTCAATAAGAAAGAAGCTATTAACTTTGTAATAGGGATGCTAAAAGTCATGGCTGCTCCAGTATCTATTAAGTAAGACACTCAGTTCCTTCCTCTTTAAAACAAGGATAGTAGTGCTGGCCCAGTAGCTCAGTTGGTTAGAGCATCATCCCGACACACCAAGGTTGTGGGTTCAATCCCTGGTCAGGGCACTCACAAGAATCAACCAATGAATGCAGAAATAAGTGGAACAACAAATCGGTGTTTTTCTCTCTTTCCCCCTCACTTTCTTCTCTTTCTCCCCTCTCCCCAAAAATCAATAAATAAAGACTTTTTTTAAAACGAGGATAATGACATGGACCTCACTGGGTTGTGAGGATTAAATAATACACAGAAAGTAAAAAACGGCGTCTGGTACATAAGTGCAGTGATACAATAGTCAAGTGATATAATAGTCAAGAGGATCAGAAGCTGCCGATCTCCCAACCTCATCAGCAAAGGGATCAGGTCACCCCTAGGCCCAGCCTGCTCCCCATCCGTCCACAGCCCTCCCCGACTGGCTGGCTTGACCCTTTGGCTTCAGAAAGTCTGAGACATCCCACGCCCATATACACAAACATTGACACTCTAGCAATCTGACCTAAAGTACAAAGAAAAGCTCAACCATTAGAAAAACCACTGTGTGGCCTGATTTCTAACTGGTGACAGAGCCCTTCCGTCAGGTGGGTCCCAAACCCATCACTCAGCAAACGAGGCAGGTGAACTCACACATGCTGCCGGAGTGGCTTTTTTAAGGCCCCGTCTCCAGGCTGGTGGCTATTTTTATTTGTTTTTAACAAACTTGGAGGTTAACCAACATTGGCTCTGGAGGCCCGACCTTCGGCTGGCACTTGGCAAGGGTAGAAGGTGAAACAGTCCGTGGTGGCTTTTGGAAATGGCTTCAGGTGCAATCAATGATGCAACAGAGCTGTCAGCCAAACGCCAAACA